TTTTAATGAAACTGAAAGAATTCATAAAAAGCATAAAAAGAAATTAAATAAAAATAATGAAGATGAACCTGAGTTTTTAAAAGTGAAGAAAGTAAACTCGAAGGAGACAAGTGAAAGCAAGGATTTTGAAAATGATGATACATCTTTTAATCATTTTAATGAAACTGAAAGAATTCATAAAAGACATAAAAAGAAATTAAATAAAAATAATGAAGATGAACCTGAGTTTTCAAGAGTGAAGAAAGTAAAATCGAAGGAGACAAGTGAAAGCAAGGATTTAGTAACTGAATTAGAAAAAGATAATGATTCTACCGATTTGGATTCTGATACATCAAGCATATTAGAAAATGACACAATAACAAAGAAAAGAATATCTTATTCATTTACTCTTGAAAGATTAAATGATAAATCTTGTAAGATTGAGGAATTAGAAAATGATTTGGATTCATTTAGCGAGATGGAAGATACTTTATCAAGAGAGGATAGGATGGTTAGTATTATTAATAACACGCTTTATTCTAAATAAAATGAATATTATAAATAGTAATATAATAAAATGCTTTGTTAATAGAAATTAAAAAAATTGAACATTAAATTGATACACGAAGTACCAAAACAACATATGATAGGAAGATTTCCTGGTTCTCGTGGATTGAACGATGATGAAAAAGAATTATTTTTAAAGTATGGGCCGCTTCGTAGAGGAACCTTTTCTGTGGAAGAAGATAATATCATTAAAGAAAATTGGAAGATGTTTTGCAAAGTAAGAAAATGTTCATTTGTTTCAAATAATTATTTAATTGATCTTCAATTATAATATAATGAATTTCATTATTAATTTACAGCTTCACGACTGGAATGAAGATAATGTCAAACCGTTCCTTTCGCCAACTTATAATGGAAAATATTATATACCTTGTACTGAAGAGAGAAAAAAATTTGTTCAATTTTTAGCCAATGGGTTACTTTGGAGACATGTGTTTAGCGTTTATCAACGGTTCAAAACTTTGTATCAGACACAAATTAATCAAAGGTATGAAAATATATTTTTTCCTATATTTATCGGTGTTAAACTTTTAAAATGAACTATCTTTTATTTGAAATCTATATTTACAGGTATACTATATCTGAAAATAAAATAATAATGGATTATGTAAAGAGAAAAGAAAAGGAAAACTTAAATAAAAATATGATTTTCTTGAATTTATCGAAAATATTGAAACGTCGAAGTACGGCAATTGGGTCGCATTACGATTGGCTTACAAAAAGACGTTATATTCAAATTGAAGGTAAGTCTATAGTTTTTTTTTATTAACAAACATTAAAGGAAAAAATAAGATTTGATAATTTTTGTTTTTCTTTTTATTTTCCATAGATGATATTTTTACAAAGCCCATATTGACGCTTTCGTTAATTAAAAGATTTGTAAATGAATTACTTCGAATAATGAAATGTGATTGTATAGAAGAATTAAAAAATGCTATTATCCCAAAGTTTATTTGGATTAAATTAGGAAAAAAATTAAATATAAATTATAAAAGGTTGAAATACATTTGGGTGTCTCAATTGCACATGCAGCTATTCTGTCCAGATTTCATTTATATAAATGATATTAAAATACAATTAATAGAATAGTAAGTGTAGTCATTTTGTAATTTATAACGAATGGATCTGTATAAAAAAAAAAGAAGCATATTTAATTGTACTTAATTTCATAAAGTATACATGTACAAATATTTATAATATTACATTTTGTTTACAGCATGTATATAAAAGGAATATCAAGTAAAAGAGAAATAATATGGTCAGATATTATAAAATATTTTGACGGAACGACTAGTTTTTTTCTAAATCGTATATTTGTCGGTCTTATGAATGATTCCGAAATAAAAGAATGCGAAAAGAAGAGTTTTATAGGTAACACATATATAATATAACGTATATGCGTATATGCGTTTGATGCATATGTAATAAATTCTTTCATTTTTCATTTTTCAGATGCTATAGAATGTTTATATGAAAAGAAAATACCAGAAATACAAAATTATGCATTAGATAAGTATTTACCTCGAATTAAATATACTATCGACGATAGTATATAGATGTGACTTCAAATGTATATAAGATAACTTTTATCCTTATTTGTATTTCTTATATATATATATATATATATATATAAGAAATATAAAGTTACAAATTTATATTTTAATAAATAAAAAATCATGCATTTTAACTTCGACTATTAAATTTCAAAATATGAGAGATATTTATTTAAAAAAAAGAAAAAAAACCGTGACAGAAAAAAATGAATCGTTATTATACAGAAATTCGTATTACAATATAATTTTCAAAATTTTATGCTTTATTTTTCTTTGATTCTTTCTCAAGTGCCTTCTCTTTTGCTCTTTGATAAAGAGGAATAAGTTTTCCTTCTTTGGCAAGTATTTTAAGTAATTCCATAATAAGAGGGAGATAATTGTGCTTTCTTCGAATATTTTCAATTTGATATCGTTTAGATTTTCTTATTTCTTCTTCTATCAATGCCTGTAAACGTTCTAATTCCGCAGGATCGCAAACATTTGCTTTTTGACGCTCGTAAAGTGTCTTTCTGTCTGTTACTATAGCCATTAAATTAAAATGTATCTCTCCTTCGTTGTATCTGTTCAAAAGATATTAATATTATATACGACATTTAGGCAAAAGTATGAAAAAGTATAAAAAGGGATGATTCTTAGAACTAGAATTAGAAAAAGGGTGCACCGATGCACCCGGTCTGATGCAATTACACTTTACTTTTTAATTAATTAAATTTCTTTTTTTATCTTACATATAAAAATAAACCAACCGTTCTAAACCAAAGTTATTGAAATATCTATACTTTATGAGAGATATTTTAATATTTTATATCGTTATACTTACTGAATATTACTATTTATTGTGTGTGTGCAAGAAAATACAAGAAAATCTTATTATAAGATGTTATCTCAGTATAATATTGTTTATTCTAAAATTGCTTGTAGAATAAACATTAGATTGAGTATCATTTATATTACTCAAATGAAATGCAAGAGAAAAATGTAAAAGGAGACAACAATTGTAAATATTGTAAAAATTGTTTTGACCTGAATTTTGTATAAAACCGTTTTAAAACTTTACATTGAAAAGAATTCTTAAAAAATAAACCTATTTTTATAAATATTACTTTTATGATAATACAACAGAGACTTATTGTAACCAGTGTAATATCCTTTTAATAAAAACTAGTAACAACCTGCCCTAGTTCCAAGAATCATCATCTTGCATATAACGAAAATAACCAAAATTAAAAATAACCAAATTTACTTACTTATTTATACGTTTCTGAATAATCGGTTTAACCGCTTGAACCCATTGATCACCAACTGGACACGGTCCTAAATCCATGGGTCCGTCCTTTAATCCATCCAATTCGTATAATCGACCATCAATAGATACATAACTCACAAAATGGAATACATCGTCATCTTTAGATGCTTGTTTAGTGTCATACTCGAATAATGTTTGTCTAGAATATTATGTTACATAAATTTATATATATGCAAATATTTGAATTAACATTAATTGCCATACTTGGTTCTGAGGAACTAGATTAAGACTTTCCATTCAGGCCACGCTGATGGTTATCATTATTATATCTTTCTATAATTGGCAAATTATCGTAGCCTAAATGGAAAGCTTAACACAAAAGATGTTGTAATGCTTAATATGCTAAAAAATACTTTTTCTTCTAGAACTAAAGTTTTACCTCGAAAAAGAATTGTGAACTTCTCTAATAACATCGGAATTACTTAAAGCAAGACCTCGCATATTTGCATCGAAACTTTGACAAAAGTTTTTAAATTCCTCTAAATTAGGACCCAACGATATATCTGAATGTTTACAATTTAAAAGTACGCTTAGTATCGCTTGGGTAGCGCAAGCATTATTTATCACCTATAAAAATATATTTAAATTAATTACATGGAACATTATATGCTGCAACTTTAAAAGATTATATTTTAATAATAAAAATATTATACCTGTTTGGCAAAAAATATCTTATCCAATCTACTATCTTGTACAATATTTCCAGACGGTTCATCGTCTTGTACCCATTTAAATAAAAATATTAAACCGTGAATTGGTCTGAAAAATAAAAATCATATTTATTACTTTATATTATACTTAATATTTGATACGCATTCTAACACAAATATAGGTTTTGTGTAAGACGATAAATATAAATACGTACTTTAAATTTTCAAATTGTTCGTCATCCAAACTCCATAATTCTTCCACTTGAGCTCCCTTAACACCTAAGAACGCACAAGTAAAATTCAATTTTATTGGTAACACGAGTATAATACAATATAAATTAATAATTGTTATTTTTTCTTTTCTTTTTATTCCAGAAAACAGAAAAAATTAGATTCCAAACAAAATTACCACAATTATAATGTTTATATGCAATATTATAAATTTCATAATAATGAGATATAAAAATAACAGAAATCATTATTTACCAAATTCTTTAATTAATTCCGTAAAAACACCAGGATCGCTTTCAATAAGACACCAATTTCCTGCAGAATCAGCCATGTTTTCAAACTTGTATTACAAATTCATCTACACCATTAATTCTTTCTTATTCTTGTAATAACTTGTCACGTCGGTAATGTAGATCTCGATAAGCTTAGTTAATACGTTAATAGATGTCTCACGGAGTTATCAAATTATTTTCTATCTCCATGAGATGCCTCTTCGTATCCTTCTAAAATCACATGCTTAAGTTTACTATTACCTTATTGTTTTTAATTGTTTGAAAAAATGAAATAGTTATAAATAAGTATTTAATTAAAAATTTATTTATAACAAAGTCACGTGAATTATTCATTGTATAAATATATGAAATTATGAAGTTAAACTGTAATTAAATATTATTGATCTTGTAATTTGATTTGTATATAACCTATAAAATTATTAATTTTATATAGATAATAAAGGGTTCAGTTGTTAAAAAAAAGTTGTCCTAATAAATTTTAATAAAATATTTAAAAAGATGCATTTCAATACTGGGCAATTAACGGGTATGTTTCACATATTAATTTCAATGATAATTATTGTTTATATGCCTTTCATTTATATTTATTTTCTAATAAAATAGCAAAATATAGATAAATATTATTATAAAAAATATAGACAAGATATTAAAATATTACTTGTTTAATAGGTAATTTTGTACCTGAAAATGATAGTAGCAATAGCAGCGATATGAGTAGTGATAGTGATATGTTAAGTGACAGTAGTTCGGATTCGGATACAGATATAGAATCTAACGAAGGATCTTCCAATGCTAATATAAATCAAGATTCAGTAGCTCCAGGTATATATATATATATATATATATATATTGTAATATCTTTATTATTTTCTATTATTACCAAAATTTTTCTCTTTCATTCGTTTAATATTTCCTAGGTAGCAGCAGAGAAGGCTTAACATTAAATGAAGAAGAAGAAGAAGATGAGACTATAAAAGCAATACTTAGAAACACAAAATTGAACAGATCTCATCCTCCGACAATTGCATTAGACGATTTTGTAGTAGATATATGTTTTCATCCTCAAAATGATATGATCGCTGTGGCTAATATTTTAGGAGATATTGCGTTGTAAGTTTTAAACTGTAAAAACTGGTAATATTAGTTTTACACCATATATACTCTATGGTAATATATATTTTTCATTTATCAGATATAAATATACTAACGAAACAACAGAACTTGTATCATCCATAGAATCACATCTGAAAGCTTGCAGAGATATCGAGTTTGATCATGATGGTAAAATTCTATATTCTACTGCTAAAGATTTATCCATAATGATGACCGATGTGGAAACAGAAAAATTAGTAAGATTCTATGAAAATGCTCATGAGTATGTTAAAAATAAATTATATATTTTTTCCTTTTTTATATTAAAAATTTTAATGACGCTAAAAAGTAATACATTTTGAATTTTAGACAACCTGTATATACGATGACCATTTTAGGAGAGCACACATTTGCAACAGGAGACGATGATGGCGTAGTTAAAAGTAATACTTCTTCATTATTTATCTATAGAGGGATTTTTTTGAGAACTGTGTGTGGTATAGACTGCTATTCTTTATTAAATAAAAATAGAAAAAAATCGTATGGCATAATACGTTTTAATTTTCTATGACTTTATTTTTTATGTGAATGTTTGATGTACCTTTCAGGTTACACTTTATTCTTTAATAATGCAACTGTATATATTTTTTTTTTCTTTTTAACTAATCGATGCCATTTTTCATTTTTCGTATAAAAATATAAAAATAGTAAAGTATAAATACTTTGATAATTCTGGCTTAATACTTTTATACGTAAGATAAAAAAAAGAAATCGATTAACTAAAAAACATTAAAAAAACTAGGTTGCATTAAAAAATACAGTACAATTACATCTGCTAAGTGCATATGTTTTTTTTTTCTATTTCTACTTAATAAAGAAGAGTAAACTTATTTCAGAGTTCCAAGAGAATCACCCTGTATACGTTATGCATTTATCATTTCATTAATATTCTGATTTAATTATAACAAAAATATATATTTTAAGTGTGGGATATCAGACAAAATGGAAATACTCCTGTATTTTCGATAAAACAAATGGAAGACTATGTTAGTGCTATGATTACGAATAAGGACAACAAATATTTAGTATGTGCTAGCGGAGATGGTTCACTCACAACGTTTAATATGCCTGCAAAAAAACTACATATTCAGGTAATTTATTTATTTAAAAACAAAAAGAAATAATAATAATAACATTACACAATTTTCTCTGGTATAGTCTGAAGAATACGAAGAAGAATTATTATGCCTTGGTTTATTTAAATATGAGACAAAGGTTTTAACCGCTACTATCAAAGGAAAAATGTATGTATTCAATTGGGGAGAATTTGGTCTTCATTCGGATGAATTTCCTAGCTTAACCAAAAAAGCTTTAAATTGTATGATACCAATTACCGAGAATATTGCAATAACTGGTGGTGAAGATGGAATGCTTAGGTATGGAAATATTATATTTCGTTAATAATATACATGATGTCTCATAGCTGGTGGTACAAGTGAACAAAGAATGATTCTACATGAAAAATTAAATCAAAAATGTAGAATATAATTTGTTCACACAAGTTTGAAAATTTGTCGAGTACACTCACACTTGACTGAATTTTCAATCTTAGAAACTAAAAACTTTGTTCGATAAACATCAAAGTAGAACCTATACAAGAGACTTCGTCATACTGACAATGTTTATATACATATATTAAGTAGTAGACAAATACACTCCAAAATATCAGAAAGTAAGATAGTAAAATCCATCGAATTGAATTTAGACTAAATGCACGTTTATTCAACAAATTTTCAAACATTTTTTTATCAAAAACAAAGTCATGTTTATGAACAAATTCTATTTTTACAGTTTTGAGATTCAACTTTTCGTTTAGAATCAGCCATTGTCTGCTTGTACCATCAGTTACAAGACATCTTGGATATTATAATGAAAAAAAAAAAATTATATTACTTATTACTCTTGTTAATAATCTAATATTAATTTATAGAGCTACAAGTTTATTTCCGCATCAGCATCTCGGTGTGGTAGGCCAGCATAATTTTCCAATAGAAGCTCTCGATGTTAATAAAGATGGTACATTGATAGCATCCTCATCTCATGACAACACCATCAAATTTTGGAACGTAGAGTATTTGGAATCATTAAGTATCTATGAAGGCATAAAGGGTGATAAACTAAAACGAATTAAACATAATTTACCAAGTAGTAAGGTTGACAATGCGTCAGATTTTTTCGCAGACCTTTGATAAATATTTTTATTATCATTATTATTATTAATATTTTTGTCGTTGCAGTTATTTCTTTTCATACATAAGCATATAATTTTGTTATATGCATTTAAAATAAACGTATACCAAATGTATCTGAATATCTCTTCAATATTTTGAAGAATTTGAATACATTATATTATTTTTAAACTTGTATTATAAATAAAAATAAATTTAAACACTAATAAAACTTATTTTACCGAAATCATACATTTCGTATTCGTATATTTTGAAGATTTTTCATATGAATTATACAATATTTTTTACTACATTATAAAATGAGAAGAAATAATGAATAAAAAAAATATATATATATAATATAATTTTTTTTTGTAATATTAATGTGTAGTATACTTAAAAAGGAACACATAGGATTATAAAAAAGAATGAATTACACAATAAAAAAATGCAAAAATCAACAATAAAATCATGCTCACTTTTTTCCTCTGTGTTCATAGTCCAAATAAGAAAATTGATACTTGGATAAAAGTTACACCACACAGGCTCACATACACGCATATACACATTTATAATATATGGAATTTATATTTAAGAAGAAATAACAGGTCTTGCTTGCTTCTGTTTATATAAATGCACAATATGCGCACACATACATACAGTACAGACATACTTTACAAATGTTATCATAAGCATAATCTCACAATCCATCGAATCATTGGGCACTTTAAAGTGTTCTCTTTATATATTTGATATTTGTATATTTTTCTAACTGCAAGACGATGCTCGGTTCTTTTTGTTCTGTTATTAATTAGATATTAATTATTATCAATATTTCGAAGGACATTTATAATAAAGAAATAAAATTCTGTTTTTTTGTACTAATCACAATATTAAAAAAAAAAAAGGATTTTTTTAAAACAGTATTAAATATGTGTAGATCCAATACGACGGGGATATATAATATATACATATATGTATATATTATATCTCATTGCACGTGTTAAATTTTTTTCAGCGAAGTATCCCCAATTTTTCATGTTTATTAATTAATGGGACATATAGAAAGAAATGTTTATCATATTGGAAGCAGTTGATGCAACAGTCCTATGATATGAAAAAAAAAGAAACAAAATCCTGAATTTAAAAAAACAACTTTAACTGTTATTTATGCATTGAAATCTCGTGAAAATAAATCTATCAGTCTCAAAAAAAAAAAAAAAAAAGAAAACATTTACAATTTATTCTTGCAGCTGAGATGATAATCTTCACAAATTTACCTTCATTGATGATTCATTTGGCGTAAGTATTCTGGAGCATGATAATGTTGTTGAGCGTGTGCCAGTGAAGGATGTATCGGTGGTGGAAAACAACGAACATGTTCTACACTGGTTGCATCGCTATCTCCACTTTTTAAATACTTATTTAATACCGCAAAAATTTGAGAATTTAATACTTGGAATCTCCTTATACGATCCACCATTCGTTTTAAACGCTGTGGAAATAGAAAAAAATAAAGAAAACAAATGATAATAAAAAATTAAAAGATAAATTAGACAAAAAAATATGATAATACGTACAATTCCTTTGACATTTTCATCCTTGCCATCTACGCGCTGTACTCTGAGAATATGATAGCAAAAGTCAAGAGCTTCGAACCTTCTTTGTTGGCCGAGTAAAACTATCATAGCGCATCCAGCCCAATGTAAACCTTCGCCGAATAATTCTCTACAAAAGGTATATATAGCATATATAATAAATATAATATAAAAGAGAATATAAAAATAAAATAATGAAAAATAATAATTATATTATAATTACTAACTCTACGGTAAATTCTGTATCTCCGACTGGAATGCAATATACAAATTGTAAAGCACTCCAAAGTCTATGGAATTCTGTACATTCATCAACATTCATAACTCCATTAGCAGGTGGTGGCCCAACCCAAATAGGATCATCTAAGAAACTACGTAATCTGCTAAGTACTATTTCAAATATTGACAAGCCGCAACAGAGTCGTTCTCTTGTTAACAAATCTCCTTCTCTAGCAATCATTGCTTGCTAAAAGAATAAGTAATATACAATTATATATATATATGATTTAATCATTGTATATTCATTTTTATTATTTAATTACCTTAGCGGTGCCCAATTTATCTACATTTGGTACAATCTGTAACGCTGCATATTTGGCTTCAAGTCGCTTTTGTTTGGTTTCTGGTTTTTCACCCTCTGAAATATATATCCGCCATTGGTCATTTGGTTAAATACTGTGTGTATGTGTGTGTGTGTTAGATACTCTTAAATTTATTAAATTATATTATTAGAATGTACCTTTACAATAAGGTCTAGGTAATATATTTTGGAATGGTGCTGCGTGTAATAAATCGCAAACTTCTTCTTGCGAAAGTGCTTGCTCCATCAGAAGGCAAAATAATATAGTATTACCAAATTCTCGAAAATTATGAAATAATTCTGTTTTAGCATCTGGATATTGTACGATATCGTTTAACTGTGCATGATAATATCCCAATACTCCGGGAGATCCATAATCATAACGAGGAAGTTTACAAACTTTTGGCATAGCTTCCATTAAAGTTTTAGTGAATTGATGTAAACTTCCTTGAATTAATGACTTGACTATTTTTAAAAGTTCTTCCATAACTACAGCTATACCTTGATAACCTAATAATTTACACATTGTACGAAAATGATATGGCCCAACAAATCCAGAATACTGTCCGTATTGGGTACTATATGCTAAATTTAATTGTTTGCTACCCCAGAGATAATGATGAGACATTTGTGGAGGTTTATCTCTGTGTACTGGTTGTACAAATTGAAGACCGCGACATTTAACAAATCTTTAAACAAAATTACACATTCATTATTCATATAATTCATTGTAATTAATAAAGAAATAATTAAGCAGAATTTTATTTTACCTATTTGTTGCAGCATTATAACAATAATTTGGTAAAAAGTCATAATTCAATTCCCAAAATACGTGAAGCGTTATTCTTCCATAAGGAGCAAGAACATTATGATTTGCTTCTCTGAACATAGCATCGTATTCGTCAAGTGCAAGCCATTTGCTTAATAATTTATGAGTAAGTCGATTGACTTGTAATAATCCTTCCAATTCCTAAATGGAAAATACAATTATTTATAAATATTAAATATAAAATATATATATATATATATGAAACTTGTAAGCTCGTTAAATATAATAATTAAATTATAATAATAATCTTATAATTGAAACTTACCACTACTCCTGTGATATCACCAGATTCAAATTTACTGATAGCTAAATCTAATGATTTTTGCATGTCAGCATTGATACGCTGCGTAATTAATTTATTTAGATCAATACTTCTTCCCAATAATTGAACATGTCGTTGTTTTAATAAAGTTTCATATCTATTAGCACGGGGATAAGAAAGTAAATATGCTCCTAATGCAACGCATTCTACTCTAAATCGTTTATCTAATAAAATACTAGCAGCTAATTGTTTATAATGTGCAAAAATTTGTTCGCTTAATTTGTAAACAAATTGATCGAAACATAAATTAACTTCAGCTTCCACTTCATCGTAAAGAAATTGTTTACGAAATATTGTTAATGCGTACAATGCGCTGTCATTGTACAAATCCAAGGGATATAAAACATACCTAAAAAATATGAAAATTAAATAATTAATTGTGGTATTTGTTATTAAAAATATGTATGAAAAGCAGGTACACATTGTATAGAATATGTTTGGCATTTTTCAGCAAAGTACAATATATATATATATATATATATGAGTTTTACGTACTCCATCATTGATGGTTCTTTGCTTCTTAGTATATGGTCGGTTAATATCCAAGGCATAGACATTTCAATTGGAAACTATATAACAAAGAATATTATTATTATTATATATAAATATATTACAGAGTGATAAAAAAAGAGGTTTAATATTTAAAAGGCTTATGGTACTCACCGAGTCGAGTAAAAATGTTTAATTAACTTGGGTTTATAAATAAAAGTTAATTTACAGCAAAATGGTTGATTTTAGGACCCATGTTAATTCGACATTTTTTTTATTCGTCTCGATGAGTACTATAAGTTCTTTGAGTATTTAATTCTTTTTTAAAATTATCATTATATATATAGAAATTTTAGTATTCACGATAGTATAGATAAAATACCTGAATTCGTTTCTCCATTGTGATTAAATCGCTGCATTCCTCGTTATGCTGATGACGCACTTGACATTTCTAATCGTTAAACAATAATTATATATTATTAAAAATGTACCAAAATTCTGATATGATAATAATATCAATAAAATAAATGATAGAATAACATTATATTTGATATGAACATTTTCGTGACGGGTGATAACTAAACAGAATATTTTTAGTTGAATATTGCATATGATTTGCAAAAGTCTGTATAATAACAAATAGAAACAATGTTCCGCTATTTGTAGGTATATGAATATAAAAAATATTGCATCTTAGTATATTGTTTATATAGTCATTTGTTGTTTCAAATTTTTCAACATTTAACATTACAGATAAGTATAGACAAAATATTTAGTCTAATAAAATAAATATGATGAATTTACAGCTACATAAAATTTATATTAATTCTTGAAATTCTTGACAATGTATATTTTCTGCTAATAATGCATTTTGATGTTTCCTAACAATTTTTATGATAAATCGTTTTTGAATGTATGGTCAAAACAATGTATAGTTATTAAATTTGTGTCATTATTGTTTATATTATTTCTATTTATATCATAGATGATTTACTCCGTTGCAAGAATTAGCAAATAATTTAAAAAATTTATTTTTGTTTCTATATTAAATTTTCAATGTACAGGGTGTCCTGTAACTAACGGTACAATTGGACAGTGGCTGATTCTACATGACAAGTTGAGTCAAAAATGTAGAAATAGAATTTTTTCATAAACATGGCTTTGGTTTTGATAAAAATGTTTGAAAATTTGTTGAGCACACATGTATTTTGTCCAGATTTTTATACTTCTTCATATGTTTATAAAACATTGTCAGTATGATGAAGTCTGTTGTATCAGTTCTACTTTGATGTTTATCGAACAAAGTTTTTAGTTTCTAAGATTGAAAATTCAGTCAAGTGTGAGTGTACTCGACAAATTTTCAAACTTGTGTGAACAAATTATATTCTACATTTTTGATTTAATTTTTCATGTAGAATCATTCTTTGTTCACTTGTACCATCAGCTATGGGACACTCTGTATAATGAATGAATAAAAAAATGTCAATTGTGAAATGATATAAAACTATTATGTTGCCCATATTCAGCTAAAAACATTGAAATTACATAGGACTACGTTTTACGTCACGAAAATGTTAAATTTATTTATAAAGAAGAAAAAAAAATATTTTCACCTGTATTTTTCGACCCATTGTCATTTCTAAATAAAATTCTCTATACCATAATTGTGACAAATCGCAACAATTTTGTAATGATTCTAGAAATAAATAAAGAAACATTATAACAACACTTTCTTAATGTTATTTCTTAATATCAGGCGGCATTTAAATAACGAAAATTTAACTTACCACTAAAATTCAAAAGATAACTCCAATAAAAACTGGTTTTATGAAATTGATCAATTTGTACAAGATATTGTCCATCGATATCTTTTCTTAATGTACGCTTCCCACCACTCTTGTCAGCAATTAATGATTCCAACATAGTACGAACCATATAGAGTTGTGTTGAGGAAGGACCTAGATAAAAAAAATTCAAATATAAAATATTATAGAGATATTCTATAATAAATGATATAATATATTTGTGTTTATTCATTATTATTTTTATAACAACTAACCAACATTTCTTCGTGGAACTTTTATACCAAATCCATTATCCGGATCTTTCTTTCCTTTTAAAGCAGGATCTCCTAATGGTTCGACACCGAAATGCCAATCGGCGCAAGTTTCTCTCACGGAAACGATTATACTAAAATTAGAAATTTGTATAAAATAATATAAATAATTAATAAATAAAATAATATAAAGAAGAATTAACAAACCTTCGAATAAGATCTTTTTTATTTTTAATAGCCTTTCTTAAGGGCTCACGTAAAGCAAGCTGTACAAAATCTTGTAATTCTGCATAAATATTACGACGTATTGCATCAATAAATACTGTTTCCATGCGTGCCATTAATACTTGCAATCCTTTAATCATTGCGATGACTTCGATAAGCGCAAACTTTTCTTCGTCTGTATAATTATAACGTGTGGCCTATAAAAAAGAAAACATTTTGTCTCAGTAATATTAAATAAAAGAAGAGAAGACAATGAAAAGAAAGCTTACTCTTTCATATTCTTCTGCTTCTTGAGGACATTCCTTATTCATATGATGATCAGTTGGATGAAGCAGTTTCCAACTATAAAGTTCTGTTACAACGCTTGTCCATTGAGAAAGTAATTGTAATCCACGTAAAGCTAATTCCGCTGTTTCACTATTTTCTACGTCGCTACCGCATTCCTTGTAAGTTGTTGTTACTTCATTACTATACCTATATTATAAAAGAAGAAATAATATTAATATCACTTAATAAATATTATATAAAAAATGAAATGTATAAATAATTGTCATTACCTTGCTAATTCGCTTATATACTTTACATGATCATCCCTAATTTGAGGCAGATGAACCATGAGACCAGCTTGCGGGCTTATACTGTTGGAAGACGAAGAAAGTGGCCACTTGGAAGCATCAAAATGTTTCGAACGTTTAATATAATTAAATGGCGCAATTTGCATATCACCGAATAACGGTACTACTTCCAAATTTTTAAATATTCTATCAATCCTATCTAATTTCAATTTTTTCTTTTGATCCAGTTTGTTGATGTTGCATAATTCACTATCCATCAAGAATAAACCAAATCCCATAACTTTGACTAACATATGTTTTTCGTTAGGAGTAAGATACATGGTAGTTTCAAACATATAAACGCATATATTTACAACATCTGCTAATAATTCTTCATAACCGGGAATTTTTTCTAAATTTTCTTTCACCGTATCACGTATTTTGTTTTGCGTTGCCAAAAACATTGATAAATTTTGAGATTCTTGAAGCGTTTGAGAATCTGACATAACTTTTAGAAATTGTGCAGCTCTGAAATGGAAGATTTATATATTTCAGTTAATTATTAATTAATGTTAATAAATATAAGAACATTTCTATACCTTCTGTATGTCGAATAATCATTTTTGACACTAGATTTCATATTCTTCAATTCATCCAAGACAGCAAACATATTAATAAACTTTCCCAAAGTCAGCAAGTATGCTTCGGATACAAAATCTTTTCTTTTCTCATGATGACATAAGCGTTTTACTTCTCCGGAAAATCTTTCTATGGCTTTCCGCTGTAAACAAACATTTAATTACTTGATAAATATACAGAATATATACATGTATAATAGATAAAATACATTTAAATAAATAACATACTTGGAAATACATAAAATTTAACAATTTATTAACTTCAGGTGCAAGTACTTCTACTGTTTTTTCATAAATTTCAACTCTATTTGGTTGTTCGTTAGACTTTGGTTGTGGAATAGCACGCGAACAACATCTCCATGTATATAACATAACGGCATGTTCTAATCCTTCTTCTAATAGTTCATTCTGTCAAATATTTACAATTGAAATATTTTAATAATACAATTTATTCTACATTATTTGAAAAAAAATAAATTATTAAGAGTAGAGTTCTTACCAAGCTAGCATGAACAGTAGCCTCTTCGATATATTTGGCAATACCGGTAACAAAACCATTTCTATCTTCAAAATTAGTATCAAAGTTAGCTTGATATACAACAGAGCACGGTTGAGCTTCGATGCAAGGTTGTTCATCAGGCAAAGTAAACTCGTCTAATACATCGACGTTTGAAAGAGCATCGCCCAAAGTTACTTTGTCGGTAGCCATAACTTATCTCTTTATATTAATAACAATAATTAAATCCTCATAGTCTTCACTACGTTAAATGTATAATCGAGCAATGATATTATAAAGTAAAATACATTTATTTGTATTGTTGCATTATTTTATGCTGTAAATAATATATTTCTATTAGCATAGTTTGTTTCTTTTATATGATTCATTTATATCTTATCTATCTATTTAAACATAAATACACACACACACAAACACACACGTGAAATGAATAACGTAAGGTTTTTTATTAATTATTTCATAATCCTCAAGATATTTGAACACACACTGTACATACAAATATTTCCCCCATAGCACCGCCCAGATGGTGGGGATGAGAAAAAGGGGATGGCTTTGGTTTGTTCTATTTAATCGCTGTCAGTTCGAATTCTCCTATTTTTCTATTTCGATACAAACTAATGAACCTTTTTTACATCTTCAAATCAATTTGTTTCCCTTGAAATCGGAAATAATAGAACATTTTCGATCCATTCTTTGTACCGTTCAATATATTAACAATTGTATTGTATGCAACGCATACACACCACTTTACATCTTTTATTATACAATGTACTGACACGAAACGTGATTCATAAGTCCTACCTATCTACTCAATTTTATAGTATATACATATATATATACATATGGCGCTCTCATCGAGTACCTGGCGCCATCTCGCGGTGGTCACAAGAAGTATTTGCAACTTCAATTATTTTACTAAAGAAGTGTGGTCAACCGACAACACTCATTCATTTGTTTGTGAGACATGCCCACACCTGCTAAGCGCAGCCAATCATATTCAAGTACGCCGACAACTTACGACAGCGTTAAGTTGGCATCAATTCTACATTTAATATTTACGCGCGACTTTCAACGAGAGAGAGAGACGCCGTTTTATATTATCTAATTATAAGTGTGCATAAAAATTAATATTTGATATTAAATAAAAAAAATTTTATATTGTTACGTATTACACGCATTATTATTACAATTACATATAGATTACCTGTTTATATCACTAGATAATTTCATAGTATTCCTACATGTTCATACTTCAAATGTTTCACATTCATTTGTCCATTTGCTCAATTGTTTATTGATTCATTTGTTTCTTTTACCTATATATTTTCTCGTTCATCACTCAGAGATTTATTTGCGTCTCATCATCCAGTGGACCCTCACTCTGCTATGGATCATTCTCCTGCTCACGTATAATATCTGCAACAGATATTAAGGACACCAAGTCATTAATAGCAAATTCTCTCAGGTATTTATTAGCTCTTTTGATCTTTTCAAATTATTGCTCAAAACTAGCATAATTCGCATTTTGTATATGCTTATGTTTCTTATATCGTGCGTGATGTATCGTGCGTCTTCATGTGAAATATATATATATTTTTTAATAATTAATATTTATTAAAATCTCTTTTTATTTGTTAATTGTAAATTAAAAAAAAAAAAATACGGCTAAGTAATTTTATGAAAATATTCGTATTTATTTATTACTAGGGAAATATGATTGGTTCTTTGTTATTACACCACGTGAATGTTTAGTAGATAAAATTACTATGTTCGTTTACTTTCTTTCTCCTAGTAAGAAATTTATACAATTTTTTAACACGTTGAGCGCGCGGAGCCAATTTTTGGTTCGATATTATATATTTTATAGGTTATATATTTTATACACGCACATATCGCAGTAACAAACATTGCGATTGTCTATTGTTTGAGTTAAATAAAATGGCGTAGTTGATGCAGTTATTAGAATGTGTATTTCCGGCATAAACAAAAGAAAATCAAAAAGTTGACGGTAAAAAGACGAAACAAAGAAAAGTCGCGATTAACAAAACGAAAAAGTTGACAGTCGCCGGATGTCTCACGAATTGACGCAGTGCTTAACGTGTTTAACAGTTAAACAGTTGAAGTTTAATGGTCTTTTTTCTTTTTTTTTTTTTTTTTTTTTTTTTTAATATAAAACACTTGAAAAATCCGATAAAATGAATAAGTGATAATACAATAGATTAGATGATGTGGCATGTCTGTTTCAAGTGTGTTCAATTGAAAGCTAATTTTAAAGAAATTATTTTTCATTTGAAGATTATATATTTATAAATTATAATCGTTGTTTTAATTTTCTTGTACTTATTACCTATCAATGATGTCGCGTGAAATTACAATAAATGTTTTATCATTGAATTGTTGGTAAGCTCATGTTATTATATATATATATGTGGTATATAAAAATTTATCATTTATTTTATTTGCTTTTGTTTCAACTTATTTTTAATTATTTGTTCTTAGGGGTATTCCATATGTTAGTAAAAATAGAAAAGCTCGTATGGAAGCTATCGCTGAAAAGCTTTCCACCGGAGAATATGACATAATATCCTTACAAGAAGTTTGGTCTGTTAATGATTTTAAAATGATTAGATCTAAAGTAAAAGAACAACTTCCGTATTCCCATTACTTCCATAGGTATTTAAAAAAATTTATTCTATTTAGAATATGTAATGTATATAATATAATTTGTTTAATAATTTGCTTTGATATTTGGACACCGTTGCTTTTTAAATGTGATTGTTCTATGAATTTACTTACAATTGAGTAAAGGAATTCGTAGATTTCTTTTTTTATTAAGTAGTATGATATTTTTTAGTTGTCAGAAAAATTACAATAATTACAACATATGTTGTATTAATTATTTTATGAATAATTATTTAATAAACACTATCGTCAGGAACGTCGTGAGTTTGACTCACGCGTGTAGCGGACGAAGATGAGCGAATATGAAAGCAGTGCACTTTTTAGAAAACATGTTATATCTTCACATCTAATAGTAGGATTTCAATGAAATTTGAAAAATAGGTATCAAATAGTATTTCGAAGATGTAGAAAACTTAAACTCAATGCTATCAAAATCAATCAACTGAATTTATGCTACTTTGTAAGCACGAAACTTACAGTGTCAAAATAACACATTTCATAAAATTATTAGTTTTTCTTAAAAATTAATAAATTTAGAACTAAACACTGGTCAGGCTTTACAAAAAAACAACCAAGAACATTATTTCTGCTCAAAAATTAGTGACAATGAAAAAAAAACAAGCATTAGTAAGTGTTTTACTGAAACTCAGCTTACGTTCTATATAAAACGTATTAATACGCAACCCGCCGACCAGCGCTAGTCTGTGGAACGGGTAGAAATACCCGACCCGCCGATAGTGTGTTAATAATTATTTAATTAACATAATTATATCCATGTAACACAACTTAAAGTTCGCAAAGCGTTGTTAACGCTTTTTTTTTCTTATAGTTGGTTTGCTTTACAAAATTTGTCAGATTGCTCAGAAATTTTATCCGCAAACAATTTTATTAAAGCACTCAATACAGGATCATAAATTAGTTTAGATTGAAAGTTTACAGATATTTTATATATTATTAGCAAAAAATGGGACAAAAAATAAAAAATATTTTGTTTGATGTACGCTAACTTATTTTCCATAAAGTAAAGGAGAAAAAATTATATAGTAAAAAAAATTATACACAGTAAATCATTATAAAACGATTTATACTTATGAGGATAGAATAGAATGTATTTCGCTGAAATGACAGTTAAAATTCCTTACAGTCTGCAATAAATTTAAAATTATAAAAAAGAAACGTCAAATAAAAGATCCTGGATTGAGTGTTCTAAAGTAGAATTCTACTGGTATTTGAAGAAATTGAAGAAAAAAAATTGCATTTCGTTACAGTTCGTACACTGAAAAACTATGAATGCAATAGTAGTGTTCGTAAGAATTTTTCTACAACGGAAAAGAATTATTTTTGGTAAGGAGTATGTTTTTGAACAAGAAAGCATATTTATTATATTTAAAAGTAATTAATGCAAAATAGTATATCATTAAAGTCAATGTAGAATCAAAACTTAAAAAATCTAAGACCAACCAGTGACACTGATGAATCTCTAATGATTTTAGAGCTGTTTTTCAACTGCAGGAGTATGTAAATTAATTTTTAATCAAAGTCATTTAAGATAAAAACAAATATATATATATATATATATATATGGAACTTTTAAAAAACAATTTAATAAAAAGTAATACAAAAATGAGCATTCGTGTTCTCTGATTCAAAATTTTACAAAGACGATGATATGAAAAACAACAAATGCATTGTTAAAAAATACCCTATTATTTGATCAAGAAATTTTGAATTCTTTCACCACAGTCATTGGATTATAAATCTTATAAAAAAAATCTATAGGACGAATTTAGATTATAATGTATAAAAAGTATCAATAAAATCAAAAGAAACATTGGAATATGTTTAATAAAAAATTTTGGAAGGGAAGATTATTTACAGTCAGTAGATTATTTACAGAAAAATTTTGTTTCAATATACCAAAATGATTGTTGTTACAATCATTGTTTAAATAAGGTAAAAGGGGAATTCAGTTGAATATTGAATAATTTAATTAGTATGCATAAGTATTATACAGTGACTCAAACTATTGATCCAAATGTTCTTGTAGTGTTTAAATTTTTACATAGCTTTCGTAATTCACATAGTACAGAAAAATTTATATATGTTACATATTTTACATAGCTTCTGTAGTTCACATAGTACAAAAAAAATTTAAATATGTTACTTGAGATAAGAAAAAACGAAGCGTTGTTAGGAAAAAATAAAACAAATTAAGGAGAGGTAAAAACAAAAACAAAAAGTTTTCAAAAGCTAATTCGTAAGTATAGCAAGCTACGTTGATATTATTTGCATTATTAAATTCGATATTCGTTAATTAGTTTTGTTATACATATATCGTCCAACTATAATTAGTTGTATTTCTGTATTATCATTTATATTCATATATTATTTAATTATTTAGAGGTATTTTAGTTACCTTTAGTGTTTAACTGTGTTAATATTCATTTTCTTTTTTTTTTTTTTTACTATGTATTGTTCTTTGTATTATCATTTAGTTTAATAGATAGGACTTTATATTCTTATAAACGAACTAAAAAAAACGTATAATACTTTTGTTAAAAAATTTCTAAAATTTCTATTATTATATTTCTATAATTTTTATTAATTTCTATAATTTCTAATTTTTACAATATTGTTCCATTTTATACGTTCAAATATTTTTGAAATACTATAAGTGTTATTTCTTTTATATTATGCTATATAAATAATTAGGTTAATTATATAAGTGAAGGTCTATGTTTCTGACAACTTAAAAAAAACGTTAAATTTTTGTAAAAAAAAAAAAAAAAACCAAGATTTCTTTTTTTTAATTTAACAATCATATTTAATCCTACATCGGCATTATGGGTCTTTTTTTTTAGTATGTGCCATGTTTGAATAATTTTTTTTATATTAAATTAAAGTTGTAAATAATAAAATAAATTATTGGGATAATATTCTAGAAACCCTATGAAAAATACTCTAGTAAATTGTTTCAGATTTTTTAAATAACAGCAACATTAAAAAATAATCCTCTTATGGTGGTGTTGGTAAAATTATTCACACCATGTCAATAAAGAATTACAAATCCAATATGGGGTGTCTGAATATTAAAGCAAGTGTCATTGTATTAATTTAATCGTTTATATTTTCAATGTCTAATGCATGTTAAGAAAAAATGTTTCAAATTAGATAGAAATTATTGTTCATGCTTATTTTATAATTTCACTGTAAATATGCTTTATTTGTTATTTTTTAGCGGTGTTCTAGGATCCGGGATTTGTATCTTCTCTAAATATTGTATTGAAGATGTAATGTTTCATAGGTGGCCATTAAATGGCTATTTTCACAAGATACATCATGGTGATTGGTTTGGTGGTAAAGGTGTTGGCCTTTGTAAGATTAAAGTTGAAGATATGAGCGTTAATGTTTATGCAGCACACGTAAGTCGTTTTTTTTTTTATTATTGATAATTAATAAATCTATAATTAACTTAATTTAATTTATAGTTAAATTAAGAAAACATTTTTATATGTATATGTATATATATATATGAATTGCAGTTACATGCTGAATATAATAAAGTTCATGACGAGTATAAATCACATAGAGTTTTGCAAGCATTCGATACAGCTCAATTTATTAGAATGACAAGCGGTGGTTCAGATGTTGTGATATTAGGTGGTGACCTTAACGCAGAGCCACAAGATTTAGCTTATAGAATTATATGCGGAGTTGCTGGTTTAATGGATGCTTGTTCGAGTAACTTTGGTAATGTAGGAACCGACGAATGTGCCAATAATAGTTATACCAGTGCTAGAGTGGCTAGAAAGTGTCCAGAAGGGAAACGCATAGACCATATTTTATACTTTGGCTCGTCGAATGTTCAGGTATTGTAAATAATTGCATTAACACATATTTATTTAGAGAGAGTTCTTGATATATCATTTATTAATTATTTTTATATATTTAGATTAGCGCAATAAATTATCAACAACCTTTACCCAAAAGAGTACCCAATACTAATTTTAGTTATTCGGATCACGAGGCTATTATGGCAAGTTTGAAATTGACGAATGGTAAGTTTGAGTTTTTGTTTTTTATCGTACTGAAGTGTAAAGCTCAGTGATCTATTAATAATAATACATATATTTTAATAATCTCAGGTGTACATGAGAAGAATAATATTGACGTGAGAGAAACATTAAAGGAAGCTATCGGAATATGCGAATCTGCCATATCATCTCTACGTTCTCAGTATTTCTGGTATTTGCTTGCTGTCTGTATACTGATTGTTCCAGTAATTTGGTCAATGGGATTAGACTATACTACTACGTCTATAGGTATAAGTATAGCTCTTAATATCGGTCGTTTATTTTTGACTGCGCTATTGTGTTATGCTTTATTTATGAGCGTTATATGGAATAACACAGAAAATAAGGCTTTAGAAGCGGGTTGTTTAGCAATGGAAATTCATTTGATACAGTTAACAAATAAGTTGTCCAATTAAAAGCATTTATATATTAATTATCGATTTTATATAATTATATTTTGATACTTTTATTAATTCAAAGGGCTGTTGCAAAAATAATAACGAAAGACAAATTTAGATTAATATAAAATATGATCTATCAAAAAATTCGTATCTTTGACAATAAATGAAAGTATGCATAAAATAACTATTGTTTATAAAATATAAACAAAAATATTCAAACGATCGATATTAAAACTTTAAAAAATACAAACATGCATGTTAGATGGTAAGTTCTGTAAGAGTAATGTTTCAATTACTAAACATGCATAACACATGCATACAAAATTTGAAGTGAATTGGATAAGGGAGGAATATTGGATTTCTAGAAGTTATGAAACTTCTTTATATATACATAATATATATTTCTTTAAAATGATTGTTGTAAATTTATATACTGAAACATGTATCACGAAAGTATTCGAACGGCATTAATTATACACAAACCTTATATCAAGTAAATCAAATATTCTAAAGAAATTAAATAGAAATAATGAAGGGGGGGATATGATTAGAAAAATTTCGTCCGTAATTCAAGGAAAATATTCAAAACAGAAATCGTGGCAAATATTGTATCTTTTTTTTATGGTGTCGGGAATTCGTGTATCGCACGAGGAATAATTTTAGTATCGATTAGTATCGATTAATAATTACATGATATTTTTGATTATTAATTAATATTGTTTTTCGGTAAACAATAATATTAAGATCTCATGATCCTACCAAATTGAAGAAAATTTTGAACTTTCTTGTGTAAAGGATACGTGGAAGAGCTTTACAAGATCGCATTACAATTCATTTAAACGAATTGAAAGGTTCACCTTTGAAAATAATCAGTAATTGTTCTAAGAATTGTAAACAACATTCAATTTTTTATTGTTATCGGTGTAAAGTAAATTGTTTTCGGCATAACACGGTTTCGTTCATATATAATTAAGTCTCGTTGATAGCAAGAAACTATACTTTGATTGGTATGTGTACACTTAATGCCGGTTGAATATATTTTTGATAGTTTCAGTACCTTTTTCCTATATTAGAATATTTTTTAATAACTTCTACGAATATCTTATCCAATTTGTTTCAAATTTTGTTTTATTGCTTTCTCTCTTCGTCTTATTGGAAATAAACATTTTCCAATAATACCAATTTTGTAACACACACTTTTTTTAAAAATTATTTTTTAAAATTATTTATATTTATTTTAAAAGGGCTCAGAGAGAGAGAGAGATTTTTTAAACTTTACACAGTTGTAGGAGTGGAGGGGTGATTCATTAAGACTATATACACTGTGTCTTAAATAGTAAGGGCCAATTCTTAACACTTTGACTGTCACAATTTCTCCTGTTCATTTGTGACCGGATCACTTGAAAATTAACAATTGTAAAAGTTGAGTGAAAATGCACTGTCTTAGTACATTTTGAACATTACCGTTAATTAGAAATATAGTTTGAAATAAAAAGTGTGTGCCCCCTTTGAACAATTACAAATTTTTATTACAATTATTACAATTTGAATTTTGTAGCATGTTTTTCCAATGCGAGTGGTGGTTAATGGGTGTCCTCTTCTACAACTGTGTAAAATAAAAATATTTGAGTAAAGGTTAGAAGGTTATATTAAGCCCCTTGTAAAAAGCCATTTTATAAAGATTAGAAGATTCCTTGCGTAGTTTGCAGCAATCTATCCAAGTGTTCAATGAAAGTGTGTCAATCCTTGCTGTCAACAAGACGTAATCAGAATTCATACGTGAACGAAAGCGTGCTATGTCAGAAACAATTTACTTAACACTGGTGACAATACAAAATTGAGTACTATTTATAATTCTTAGAACAATTGCTCATTGTTATCAAAGGTGAACCTTTCAATTCATTTAAATGTATTTTAATGTAATCTTGTAAAGATTTTCCACGTATCCTTTACACAAGAAAGTTCAAAATTTTATTTAATTTGGTAGACTTGATGAGATCTTGATATTGTTGTTTACTGAAAAACAACAATAATAATAATTGAACTATCATGCAATTATTAATCGGTGTTGATCGATATAGAGATTATTCTTTGTGCGGTATGCGAATTCTCGTTGACACCATAAAAAAAATACTTATTATTTGCCACGATTTCTGGTTTTGAATTTTCTCTGAGAAACGACTGACAAAATTTTCACAATCCCGTCCTAAGTTATTTCTCTACTTATTTATTTATTTATTTTTTTAGAATAATTGATTTTCTTGATATAAAGTATAATTAATGCCATTCGAATACCCAGTTAAAGTGTAAATCTTGGCAATGAAATGTTTCATTACTTTTATTTAAATAAAAATGAAAATTCAAAATCTTTTAACTTAAAAATACACAATAGTATTACTTTCAGAACTTAAATTTAACATATATGCATACGTGTATTCTTCAAAAATTGTAATATCGATAGTAATTGCAACATTATTTTCAGAAAGAGAAAGTTTATTCTAATATATACATATTTGATTATCTAAAGTAATTAATATCGAACGTTCGAGTACTTTTCGTGAGCAATTATATTTTTTGCTAAATTTTATTACTAGTTTTCTATATACTGATATATACTTAACACTAGATATACCAAACCAGTCATTTTGACTGGTCGGGTCATTTTAATTCAAAATTTCTACTTCATGTAACATTTGAGTTCTGTAAATAATTCAGCGTTTCGTTATTTAAAAATATCTATAATAAAATAATTATCTATGAAAATTATTATTGTTAAACATTTTTTTGTTATTTTTTAAGAGTAAATAAAGACTGGAAGGCTAAAAAAGCATTTTTTTTATACACCAGTCATTTTGACTAATGTGGTAGAAATAGGTATACTGAAAATGGTGGTAAATCTAGTGTTAATGATATATAAATTTGTAGCATTCCATATGTATGTAAAAATGTGTTAATATATATATCTCGTATAAGTAACATTTATACGATTTTAATGAAATGTTATAAATGTGGAAATAATGTTAATAAATATTATAAATAATAATAAATAATTAAGGTAGTAATATAAAGACGACCCCTGAGTATAAAAAAAATAAACATAGTTTTATATCTTTATTTATGTATATTTTATGTATATCTTGTCTCTTTTGACAATCAGTTTATAGTAGAGTAATAGTATCAATTATCGATATAACATAGTTATGATATTTCAATTGATGTGCACAATGTCTAAATATTTATGAATTCGTAAAAGCATAATGGGGTAACGGTTATATCTCTTAATATTTGTTTACTTCGTATCACAATATGATTATTGCTATATATACTGTGTCTTGTATATTATGTATAATACAGCAATTCAAATAATTGTGAGATTAAAAGACTTATTGTTTGAATGAATTTCTAAAAATGGTATACATATATGTATGGTATGTATATATATATATATATATGTATATATATCGATGCAATATTTCCAGTAAAAACTTATTATATATTAGATGTATATATATATTATATTATATTATATTAAACTCTATTATAGATTCGCGTATGCATTACATTTTTTTTTATACGTAATTTTATATACAGCATAATTATATTTTAAGAAAAAAAAAGAATGTTTCTAATAAATAAGTTTTACGTTTACATAGAAATGTATAAGTATAATTGACTATGTGTGTACGTTGTATCCAAAGAAAGATACACAGTTACGATTATGCGTTTCACGTTATTATTTATGATATCAAAGTTTGGATGAGAATAATCTCTTATCCCGCAATATAAAAATTTACATGCAGCGGGGTAAAATATTTGGGGAGGAATGTGTGTGTGCATATAGGGAATGTAAATATTGATTTAATGCAAAACACAGGCACTCTTTGGTTACTTCTCAGCTTTAGGGTAACTGTTCGACATAATTTTTTGGAACTAGTCCAGTTTTCCCATTCAAGGTGCCTTCTAACCATCCAGGCTCTAACGAAGCCTTAACTGTAATCAAAAAAACAACGTAATTAATAGTTGTAAATTCAATATAAATTATAAAATAAGATATTACATTTTTATTTAAAAACAAATTTTTACCATTTGTGATGATTTGATTTGGTTCAAATGATAATTCCCCATCACCTTCAGCCAAACAGGCATATAATGTTCGTACTCTCCTAGAAAAAAGAAAAAAAAGTTAATACAAAATAGTTAAAATTAGTTATTATTAGTTAGTATAAAAATTAGTACAAATTATTTAAATCTATAGTTAACAAGTTCCTGTTGCGTTGATTGTATAAAATTTCTTATTTTTATAGTTTGTTGCTCATGATATAATAAATTTCAATTAATTTAATTAAATTATATTTAATTTATGTACAAGAACTAATTAATTATACATAGTTTAAGGAATTTACAGATGTGAATGAACAAAAAGCGCATATATATTGTTTTTATGTTCAGCAAAAAGTTACTAGTCAATACTTGTTATCCTGAGTTTATTGTTTATCAAAGAAATTTTTAATTGGAAAGATCAGATTTTGATGATGTATGCTTTTTGTTAATGTTTTTTCAAATATTTACCATTGATGTTTTTTTTTATAGAATAATGACTAGTAAATTTTTAAAAATTAATTTTCTCATAAAAAAAGAAAATTGTAGTAATAGTGATTTTTGACTGATGATGAAATAAATTGTAAAACGTGTATTTATTTTAAAGAAATATTTATATAGATTTTTACTATTCAATTTACTTTACCAAGTACTTTAATTTTATCAGAAAAATGAATAAAAAATTATTTGATTGAAATAATACTATGAATATTTCATTTGTACTTGTCCCAAAAGATTTTTTGTTTAAATTTTTTTTTGTCTGTTTTCATATCATCAAATTAATTAAAACCTATATAATAATAATCCTACAAACTTATGTAAACATTGACAAAATAATTATAATTATTATTGTATTACATGAAAAAAAAAGAGAACACAAAAATTATTGAATTTTTGTTAACTTTCCAACGAATTTTAATTTTCATTTGTTTCAAAAGTTTTTTCTTTCTGAAATCTTTTATCGTTTTGAAATTATTATTATACTGGACTTACTATATTTATTGAAGACTACGAATACAGTATTAATGATACACCATTGACCTACACAAATGTACAAAAGAATAAATCCTGAATTCAATTTAAATTTTTCTTAAATTTTTTACAAGGATATAGGTCATTGGTTTCATCTCGATTTTGACATTTTTAATTGTAATAAATTTACAACAAATATAAATAAATTCTACCACAGCTTTTGATCAAGTAGGCTTTGTTAACGTATAAATACGTCAAACGTATTCCTTTAAAGCTAAAGGTACAAACCTTTGTACTTTATATATAAATAAATGAAAAAATATAAATTTCATCTTTTTACTTATTTTAAGCATAAATAATAATAAATAATAACTAGAAAGGGAATTTCCTGGTTAATAGGTTAAGAGATGGTTATTTATATTTTAAATTTAAAACGATTGAGCATTTCAGATTATAAGCCCTAAATAAAAAGCCGTTATCGAAAATTAGTAACTTTTGAAAATTTGTTTTGCATCTTTACATTGTAATAGAGTTGATAGTAAACTTTTCTTAAATTGTGTATAAAATTTTGGACTATGCTAAACTACGTACATCATTCAAGATATAAAAATTTGAAATATTGACTTTTGGCTGAACATAAACAATAATATGCATTATAAAAAATTATTTAAAAGCACTTCAAAATGGTGTGGGTTGGTGGAAGGGTACATTAGACATGCAGATATGCAATGAGTTAAATAATTGTATAAAAATGAAATATACCAAATTCCAGGCATTTGACCAGGACTGGAACGACCACTACTTGGCGATGTATTAGCACTGATAAAATGATCATTTTTGTTAATAATTATAATATCATACTATTATTAAATAGTTTGAAGAGAATATTATTATTAAATAACAACTTTTACTTACATAGATATTGTGGGATTACTTCGTGGATAATTAGCAGGATAATGCGTGGACATAACAGTTCCACGTTTTTGTTTAACCGGTATATTAGCTGTAAATGGATGTGGATCCGATGCAATTGATTCGCTCGAGCTACTCGTGTTACCACTAGTAAGCACTAAAAAGAAAATTAATAGGAAAAGGCATAACGCATCAATTATAATAGAAAATGTAAAGTAGAAATAGTTAAATCAATATTATTTAAAATGTAACCTTTATCTGCTGAATGGTACATTAAATTTGCGTTAGTTAATTTAACTCGACCACTTCGAGTCTCTAGATATGCAGGAATACGATGACTACTAGGATCAACTTCTTCGTAATCACCATTTTTTCTATCATCCATAGATGGTGATTTAGTTGTAATCGTTAATGGTCCATCGTAATAAGATCTTGTAACATGCTACATAAGTAAATCAAATATATTAAGTTAATAATCTTACAATATTATCTAAAAACATGTTGATATATGAAAATGAACTTACATGAGCATGCGGTATCGAAACAGAACTATGTACCGGATATCTTAACAAAGAAGTTCCATTTCCAGAAGTAGTTGGACCCTCATCCGTTTCTGCTATTACTTTAGACGTAACCATACTTTGTATCATTTGTGTTGTGCGTAAAATATCTTGCGGTGGACCGGCAATTATTCTTTCACAATTTTCAATTAATATTTCTACTACGATATTGTAAAATTTAATATCCATTATAGAGGCCACCGTTTCTTCTTCTGGCCTTAATAACGTTGGGCCAAAACAAACGGCTAAATTACCAACTGTCATTAAATTTTTATCACTTTTATTTGCTACACTGTAAAAAGAAAACAAAATAATCATTTTATTTAAAGATCGTTATTATATTTATATTATATTAATAAGATTAAGTATTTATGTTTACCTGCGTAAATGAGGTATAAGCAGAGTCAACATATTAAAATTAGCCTTTGGCAATCGATAAACGAGGCTATGTATTTCATTTATTCGTGTTTCTTTCACTTCATGTTCTGTTAGACAAATTAAACAATATATTCATTTTTTTTTTAATCTTACCAAAATTATATCACACATATTATAAAGTGCATTTACGTAAGAGAAGCAGCAGCGTGTGTTAGATGAATTTATTTGTAACCAAAGAAACAATAGCACTAATAAACTCAAGTGCAAATAAAATAACATAATAAAAAATACCTATACGCACTCGCAGCTGAAATGAAACTGTTATAGTATCGGAAAGTCATCAATGGTTCAAAAAGAGTTCGTAAATATGTTTTTAATGCACTGGTTATAGTTTTACTTTCCCATTCAAAACGATCTTCTAAAGAAAGTTTCTCTAATTTTCTTCTGTCCAGGCCCATAGCTAAAAGTTTGTTTACTTTAGATGCCACACCAACGACTCGATATAAACCTTGTTCTTCTAGACCTAAACAAAAAAATTATCTATGAGTATTATTTTACTCTTATGCACTTGTTATAATTAATTTTAGATCATTGATAATTAAGAATTATGAAAATGATTATACCTCTGTCTTCCAGGACCGTAATACATTTTGATACAAACATGAATCCTGTTTCGTCCAAAATATTTTCTTCGGATTTAACCGATGTTCCCACCAAAGGATAACTCTAAAATCATTGCGAATGAATTGTTACAAATTGATGATAACGTTGTATTATTTATCGGAAAAATAAGTTACCCTTACCGGTTCTTTACCATCCATAGCATCCATCCATAATTTTCTATCTTCTTCGGACAATGCTTGAAACGTGTATGTTACATTAGGCCTAAAAATAAAAATCTTGTTATATACCTTTTGCAATTTGTATTAAATTAAAATAGAATCAAATCACTCACTTATCAATAGATGTAATATCAAAACAAAAGCGCTTTTCAATTGTATCTGACATACGCCTTACGCAGGATGCTAACGTTAGAGTTTCTTTACTACTCTGTTAATACAATGTGATACGATAAAATTCATTAGTTATATATTGTACAGAGTATAAATAAATGTTTACATGTTATTAAGATTTTATTACTTACGAATTTGCCTGTAAGTTGATTGTACGGTATCATTGTAAATTCTTTAGTATCTTTTTGATATGTACAATATTGTTTAGTCCATGTTGTACCAAAAGCCTCTGTAACAATATTTTATAGAATACAATATCATTATAGTCAATAGACTAAATAGAAAAAATAAAAGAGGACAAAAATTTACTTTTTTCCATAAGAAATAAATATCCTTCACGTGAATGTAATTTGTTCAATCCTGTCTCCACGGCTGACTGTAATAAACAAATAATATCACAAATAAAACATTGCAGTAATTACATTTGATATATTATTATATGTATTTTGATTTCAATTGCTTTTTAGTACATGATTTGTTTCATGCATAGTTTCAAAAAATATAATTCCCCATATCCACAATAAATTGCTTCACCAATAAAAAGCTTGTAATATTTGAAAGTTTTAATAACATAAAACACATACCTTTTTCATATCCTTCATTTTATTCATAAGTGATTCAGTTTTATCCCGGGTTGCAAGAAAATTCTCTCTAGTCTTGTAAAAATACGCACACATAAAGTGAAAATTAGTAGGCAATTCTTCATGCTTGTTATCCTAATTATATATTTGAAATGTGTAATATCTCAAATGAACACAAATAGATCAAAATTAATTAAATGTAACCAACATTAGTACATCTAATTAATTTGCTTCCCGTTATACATTTATATATGTATATATATTATATATATTATTGAGATAAATGTTGATTTAAAATGACATATTTAAATAGCGATGACATGCTGTTTTTGTATGAAAACAAGAAATACATAATTTGTAAAATTTGCATATACCACACCAAAAACTAATAAATGGTTAAGTATTATGTTAGTGCTTTTAAAGCACACAATTTCTTTGCTTTCTCAACAGAGTTATTTTTTTATAGTAATATTATAATACATACAATAAAATCACTCATATTAAAATGCATAAGATTAATCAATTCGCAAGTATTTAAAACAAAAACAATGCGACAATAATATACTATACTATTATTTAAATAATATTTTTGTATATATGCGTATATATATTCAGAATGATAAAAAAATAAAGAGTCTAATATTTTTAACACATTGAACGTGTCAGCACTTATATTTACTTATCTTATGTGACAAAACAGATATTTAATTTTAAATTAATTTTTACAAAGTGACTGTATTGATCTGATTATTCACAAAATATTATGTTTTTTTTTTTTTAAATTAGAGCAAAAAGAAATAAACGATAACCAGAGTAGAACGTATAAATGTGTACTGTATAAACATATTTATACAGTATAAAAAAGGAATCTTGAAATTCAAACCAGCGTTACAATGTGTTTAAAGGTTTATAATATTTATCAAGAGAAGTAAAAAATACTTAATTAACATGAAACATAAAATCAACCTACATTTACCCTAAATGTAAATTAACTTTTGATTATTCATTTTATAAGTAAGTCCTTTTGACAATGTATTGAATTTACAATATAGAAGAATTTGCTTAAAAATACATTACTTCGAGGTTGTAAAGGTAAATTTATTATGAAAATAAGACAAAAATTATTAATAATGTCAACAAATATTATTTTTCCTGGGTGCAAATAATATGTACAAATAATAAATATTCAATATGTCTACTTTCCATACAAATACAATTGTAGAAGTGCAAATCCATATGTTAAATATTTACAAATCATGAATTGTACAAATTATATTTAAATATTATTCTTCGAACTAGTGAACATTTCTAACCAAATTTTTCTGTATACGTTCAATACATTATTAAAAAAACTCGCTTACGATATCAAACTCACATAAATAATAAAAATTAATTTAATATTGAAAAGATTCATTTTAGTATTCATGTGTAATTAAATATTTTTTTTTTTAATACTATAATCAGACCTTAAAATATTGGACCTTTTTTTATTTTTTACCATCCTGTATATATATAATTATGACGAAGATAACAAACCTTTTGTATTTTTAACTGCAATTCGGTCATATATGGTTTAAAATCTTTTGCTACTTCGTGACCTTGGTGATAGAACGTTAACCAACCGAACATAAAACTTAGTAACTGAAAAAGTATTTTCAAGTATATATTAAATGATAAAAATGTAAGAGGATGAGAAACTTTTATTATAATAATATTATTATACCCACTGTTTCAACAAATTCAAATTTCTTTCGTTCTTGTACCTCTTGCAACAAGAACACGTACTCTAAACTAGCTTGACAAAAATGTCTTTTGGCCATTTCCAATGTTGCATCCGCCTAAAATTAATATTATAATACAATATTAATGCATTTGAAAGATTTTGATAAAAAAAAAAATTACTATGGTATAATAAATATACCTCTTGAAGAACATTGTCCTGTTTTTTTGTTGATAAATTTAGGTAACGTTCTTGACTTTGACAAAACTTAATAGTCTGTTTTTCAAATTTTTTCTTCCCGTCCTATAAAGCGAGGAAAATTATATATATATAAATAATCTATACATGTATTATTATATTAACACACTGTCAGCGGGTCGGGTATTTCTACCTGTTTCACAGACTGACGCTGATCGGCGGATTACGTATTAATACGTTTTATGCAGAAAATAAGCTAAATTTCAGTAAAACACTTACTAATGCTTGTTTCTTTTTCATTGTCACTAATTTTTAAGCAGAAGTGATGTTTTTGGTTGTTTTTTTGTAAAGCCTGACCAATATTTAGTCTTAAATTTATTAATTTTTAAGAAAAACTAATAATTTTATGAAATGTGTTATTTTGACACTGTAAGTTTTGTGCTTACAAAGTAGCATAAATTCAGTTGATTGATTTTGATAGCATTAAGTTTAAGTTTTCTACATCTTCGAAATACTATTTGATACCTATTTTTCAAATTTCATTGAAATCCTACTATTAGATGTGAAGATATAACATGTTTTCTAAAAAATGCACTGCTTTCATAATTCGCTCATTTTCGTCCGCTCACGACGTTCCCGACGATAGTGTGTTAATTTATAATGTCAGAAAAAGAAAAATAATGAAAAGGTATGAAATTTAATATTTTAAAGAATAAACAAAAAAAAGAAAAGAAAAAATATCTACCTTAACACCGCCAATATGTTCCTTTCTGAAGTTTTCCAAAGGAAGTATAATTTGATCATAAGCGCGTTCAAGCTGAAAAAAATAATATATTGCCAAAAAGAAATAATAAATATCAAAAAAAAAAAGAAAAACGCAATTTAAATGAAGATAAAATAATATAAATGATATATTAATAATATAATATCGTGCTTTTGAAGATTACATATTTTATCATAATACTTGTCCTTGAAATATAATATTTCTAAAATAATATTAACAAATTGATAAACATCATATGTAAATAAAAATGTTATGCCTGTTTAAAAAAAAAAGATAAATTAGTAACATATATATAAAATGTTTTTCCCCGTTATAGGTATATATGCCACTACGTCTAGTAACTATATAGTAACAATTTTTTTATTGTATGAATTTTTGAATAAAAAGTAGAAAAGACAGAGTTTACAGTATTCTACAGCTATGTGGGGCTAATCTCCAACTATCTCAATTTTGAATTATAAATAAACTAATTGATATTTAAAGAAAATTATCAAATGTGATTTTGCTAGAGGTTTTATACAATTATTATTGATATTTCCAGTTCATTTATGTTAGTTAAGTATAACCAAAAAATTAGATTCCTTGAAAGAGAGAGAAAGAGAGAGAAGTCTCTAGCATATACCACAATGTTTGTGCTCTTTTCGTATGTGCTTTATATATGACACTCGACATGCAAAAAAAAAAACAAATCATCATGTACAATATTACAAATCCTAAATCTATACGTATAATATATTTCACAATATTCGAATACAAAAATTTCTCCAAGAATGTATCGAATGTATTTCTTACGTCATAATTTGACCGAATGAATTAATTAATATACGCTGCAACGGGATCCCACAGTTGATTTTCACTCTAGAGTGTATGCAAGCAAAGAATAAACAAAGGTGCAATTAGAAAGAACAAATGGAATAAAACAGAGAGCAATATAGAAACATAACATATCACAAATTTGTTATTATTATATTTATATATAATATGTCATTTTTAAAATCTTTTTAATTAGAATAAAATAATAAAAGAACTTTTTTTATAATAATAATAATAATAATATAATAATAATAATAATATAAGAAATAATATTAATATGTATATATGTATAAAAAATAAGTCAGTTTACGTATAGATTGAAAACGTTATAAATGGTTTTAACTATACGTATCATTTATAAAATCAATTGGAAAGATATTCAATGATGTATTCTTCGTGTAAAATGTATTCCTTAATAATACATATTTACTAAATAATCGTATGCTACCTGTTCTTTAATACAATTGAATAAAGTTACAAGTTATGAGATTAGATATCACATTGATTATATTTATTTTATTATATTAACTTTGTATTATATTATATATTGAATATTTATATATATTGTGCATACCATGCGGTCCCTTTCATCCTCTATTGATGCTATCAGTTTACCAAATTCCTTTAAACTTTGCGATATGTGAGTTTCATCTTCGGTTTGTGTTTCTCCGATACATTCGAAACTAAAATTTTGCAGTGTTTTAGAAAATGCTCGCTGGGCTCGGGATAAATCTACAAAACCATCACAATCTTATGTCAAATTGTATTCCATGCGTATTAGATAGAAAATTACATAGAAAATTTATAAAGAGATTAAATTCATTAGAAGAAATATAAAACAAAAAAATATATATATATGTTATTTTCAAGCGCTAGAAACCACATTTAAATTAACACTAGATATACCACCATTTTCAATATACCTATTTCTACCACACTAGTTAAAATGACTGGTGTATCAAAAAAAAAAAATGTTTTTTTAAGCTTGCAGTCTTTATTTACTCTTAAAAAATAACAAAAAATGTTTAACGATAATAATTTTAATAGATAAATGGATTTATAGACATTTTTAAATAACAAAACGCTTAATTATTTACAGAAATCAAATGTTACATGAAGTAGAAATTTTGAATTAAAATGACCGGACCAGTCAAAATGACTGATCTGGTATATCTAGTGTTAATATCTCTTGATCTATAAACAATATGGGATTACAAGAAAAAAAAACCCAATTTTTATTAACAGAAATAAGAAAGATTATTTTACAAATTGTTCAATATTATTCTACGCATGCTACGAGATAATAAATATTTTATAAAGGGTGGTATAAAAAAAAACAGTTCAATATTTTAAATGTTTTGTAATACGTATTAAGAGGAGTAAAAAATATCTATTTAAGATTTTGATGTTGGCATTAAATGACGTTTGACATTAAACATTTGTTCGATAGTTTTCAATGTGACACGAACAAAGTAACATCTGTATTTGTTCGATAGTTTTGAATGCAATACCAGTAGATACGGTATCACCGACATTTGTTCAATAATTTTCATATAACATTAACGTAGTATCATCGGATGGTATAATTGTTTATAAAAGTTATAATATTAATTCTTCTAATGTAAATAAACTTTTTTTTTTATACATGATCATTTAATATTGTAATCGAGTCTCTAAGCAACACATTGAAAATGTACACAGAAAAATTGGCTTAGAAATACACTAATTCACACACACAAGGAATATTTAAAAACATATGTTAAAACTTTTATTTAAATTGAAATTGAAGACATATCGAATATAATTTATAAATATTATATTTACATTTAAGAAGTAATATTTATTGACATTTTAATGTCAATAAATTGTAAATTTATCTTTACAATCATGAAATGTGTTTCTAAGCAAATTCCTCTATATATACATTCAATACATCGTCAAAAAATACTTGCTTACAATATTAATAATAAAAATTAATTTTACATCAAAATGGTTGAGAATTTTAGGACTCATGTTAATTAAGTATTTTTTACTTTTATTGATAAGTACTTTATAAGTCATTAAAATATTGGACTATTTTTATTGGCCACCCTGTATATAGTAATTTTCTATCAAATGAAAGAAACATTATAAGTGAACAACAGAGAGAGAAAGAGAGAGGGAAATAGAAAGATATAGAAAGATAATAAATGTTAATGTGATTGGTAGAAAAAAAAAAGAAAAAGAAGTGAAAGATAATACTATTTGTTAAATAATTAAGAATGATAAATTGTCATAATTGTATATTACAAAGAAACGAAAAAGTAGCAGCTGTTGCATACGTGCATTAACAATATGCGCGTTCATACACTATGAAACGTAACTTACTCTTAGCGGCTAACAGTAGATCTTTGACCTCCTTGATGAGACGTTTAATCTGCTGACTTGTTTTTTCCAATTCACGTTCATGATAATGTAGATTTTCTCGAAAATACGGACTATCGGTTAAGCAATCGGTAAACTCTAATGGTTTAAGGCCAACACCCATTTTATTCTTAATTATATATTACACTTGAAACGTCATTAATAAAAACAGTATACCAACACGACGGACAATTTAGCTTGCAATGAAAATCAGTACACGAACACACGATTTACTTTACCAAACTCACATTATTGTTCATACATACACGTACAATAATAACACATACAAACGCGATCCGCGCACACGCGCAAACACATATATACGTATAGTATGCTCGAGCACTAGAAATATATATATGTGTATATGTACTTTGTATGGTACGCAACCTATATATCTATATGTGTATATAAATATAAATATATTTATATGTATATGTATAGACGTATATAAATTAATGTTAATTATTACAAAAGTATCTAAATGTTAATCATATGTAAAAAGATATGTTTGCAGCAATTACTATCAAACGACAGTCCCGTGTATTAACCTTATGTCACTTTACACTGTTTACAGCGCCTCTAGTATTCTTACGTGTAAGCTAAATTATTGTAATCGTAAGAACATATTATGGCGCTCTTGTCAGTAGTCCCAGTGACATCTCGCGATGGTTATAGGAAATAGCTTCTCCAACCACGATCATTATATTCGTGATTATATTAGTGGAAAAGTGCTGCCAATCGGTAACGCAAATTCATTTGTCCAGTTTATTCATTTGTTCATATACTCAAACAAAGAATACAGAAGTACATAGAAGCTTACAAGTCCAGTTTTTTATCTAGCAAATTAATTTTAGTTATGCACCGTAACCACTAGTAGACGATAGTAAGTATTTAACACGATGACGGTACAATACTGTCAAAGAATACGATATTCTATTTAATATTGCTGACTGGTGGTCAGGTTAGTAACTAAGATGAATGTGGTTACGCAATAAGTGGACTTGAGTTTCTATGTGTAGGCTCTCAACTTTCGCACATAACATAATTAGTTCCTGAAAGTATGTGCGAATGTTAAATATTCGAAAGTAGAGAGATGTAAAAAAATATGCACTAAAAACTGTGTTTTAAAGTATTTATCTATCAATATGTATACATAATAAAATTAAAGAGGCGTGTTTTAAGTGTTTTCGGATGTTTTCTTTATAAGTTGTCAAGAGTTTGTTGAATACCACCCATTTTTTTCTTTTCTTGATAAAGATTTCTATAACATGCTGTGGCTTTCTCAATTGTCCTACGTACTTGAGATATACGTTCTCCATTGGGATCACATTCTTCCATGATAGTCAAAAATTTGTCAAGATGCATGAAGGCTTCATTCATATTTTCAATTGTCAAAGTCTTTACGTTTTTATCAGCTTCCTCACTTTCATTGTGTATTTCATTGTTACTCAATTGTTGCTCAATTAAGTATTCATTTGACAACAGTGTTGAGTGAGATTCAATCAACTCATTAATATCTTCTTTGTTGACATCCAAGTTTAGTTGTATAATATTATGTAAAGGATATCTCATTTTAAATTTGTCAAACCAGCCATTACTTGCTTGAAATACCCTGTTAGAATCTTCATTTAATTTAGTCTTCCAATCTTCATACAAACTAAGAGCCTTAGCTTTAATAATTGAAAAATTCAGAGGGACATTATTTTGATGTTGATCATAGATCCATGATGACAAAGATCTTTCCATTTCATCCATCACTATGCCGTGTCTTTTGGAAACAATCTTTGAAGATACATTTCCACAGTTTTGAACGTATTCCTTAATTTTACTCTTGTTTTTCAAAATTGAACATATTGTAGATCTGTTTACACCGTACAAACGTCCAATTGAAGCAAAAGATTCACCGTTTTCAGAACGTTTAATTATTTCCATTTTTGTCTCAATCGTATGAAGTTTATGAGTCCTTAATTTCTTTGTGTTTGTATCAACACTGCAGTTTTTCCGTTTCTGACTCATGTTTATCAATTTATAAGGGCGAAATATTTAAACTTAAACAAATAAATTAGCAAAACACACAACACGTTAACGCACACTCTAATGCAAGACTGAAACTGTTTATCCGAACAACATTGTAATCTGATGGATAGTTTGATGTCCCCTGAGAGGGGACATCTGATTGTAGAGTATTCAACAGTTGCATCTTTAAAAATGTGCGAAAGTAGAATATGCGAAAGTCGAGGGCTGGCTGTATATACACCAGTAGTTCCCAAAGTGGGCGATATCGCCCCCTTATGGGCGGTGATGGCCACAGCACAGGTGCATTTAGGGGGAGGGATGAATTCTTTTTGAGTTACTAAAAAAAAAAAAAAGGAAAATCATAAAATTAATTTTCAGAGAGGCGCTAAGTAATATTTTTTCTGGAAAGGCAAGCAGTAGGACAAAAAACTTTGGGAACCACTGATATACACATATACACATATGACATACACACATACACACTCTCCTACTGAAGTACAGTCAACGACACAATAACAATTTGGACGGAATTTGATATTTGCAGCAATGAACTTTACAATTCCTATAACACCAGTTAATAATAATAATAATAATAATAATAATAATCTTTATTTTATTGTTTTACAAATTCTTATAATATTGGCACGTGTGATAAGATTTTTGGAATTATTTTTCTTTTGTTATGCTAAAAAAATATAACTTCTTATGTCTTAATTAGTACAAATACAATTTTTTTCTTTTTTAATTAAAAAATTAAATTAGACTATAATATATTACATTTTAACAAAAGACTACAAATATTTTAAATATAAACATTCTTATTTATAACGCTAGAATGTTTGCAATTCATTTATCCATTTACGAATGAGAGTAACACATGGCAAAGCCATATTGCATTCATTTCGCAAAAATTTATAACATTTTGAATTTAATTGATAAAGGGAAAGAGCCAAATTTTTCTCAACATCCGACCAACTTTTTTTTTTCAAATGACTAATTTGCATTTCTACTATAAATAATGTTTTTTTATTTTTAATTACTGTCCTTGCCAATGAAAGTAGATGTAAATGATTCCATTTTTTGGGGGGTTTTTTACGTATTAAACGAGCATATCTTTGTCGTAATGCACAATTTCTTCTTCGTAGTTTTTTAATAATTAAACGTGCATTATCAAGATCTTTCATTATAATTGATTCTCTATCAATATCATTGTTACTATTTGTATGTTCTTGAAACTCGTCAGATGAATTTGGACATTCATTACTGTCACAATTAATGTCAAAATTCAATCGTGAATTAATAGTATTATTTACATTATCAGTGTCATCGTTATAATCATTAATATCGTTATTTATATTATTATTAATCACTACTGTGTGTAACTCCTCGAAATCCTTGGGTACTGCATTTTTATTTAAAATTGGTCTGCATCCTGGCATGTAATCCTCTTGACTGAAATGGTTTGAACAAATCAAGCGATGATTCCATTGTGAATCGTCAGCTTCATTATCATCTTGATGACCGGAACATTGAATCCATATTAACAATCTAACATTAAAATAAAATAATATTTATTCCAAGTATAAAAGTTAGATATTAACTAATTGTAATTTTATTAACAAAATTAATACTCACTTTTCTTTATCTGTGGGAAACCGATGAAATACCAAATCAGGTCGTGATTTTTTTGTATTATTACATCCAGAATAATAACACTTATTATTTGACGGCATGTTGCTACTTAACCACTTAACCTACAATTTAACTTCACGGTGCGGTGCCGTCCGCTACGATTTGATAAGCGCTACAGTGTCACATTCTCACTGCTTCGGTAAAACCAAGATTTTGACATATTTCAAATCTTTTTTTGCTTTGGGACCAAGTGCATATTGTTTTTAGACATCTAAAGTACACGTTAACACTAGAACTACCAACAGTTTTAATGAAAATAAAATATATTTTATTTTAATATTGCAATTACGTAATATATATATATATATATATATACCTATTTACATAAAAGGTAGTATTATTATTTGTTTTTTATTTAGGCTTAGTTATTATTTTGATCACAACAATTTTTACATAAAGACATTTTTTTCAATGTACATTTACCACAAACATGTTTCTTATAGCCAGCACATATATTCATAGTTTTAATATCCGATATTATTAAAGTAATTCTTTCTATTTTATCCCATATAACCACATAAATTAACAGGTTATGGGTCCAGTGTGTGCTTAAAGATTTACGTTTTCTGTGTGCTTTGAGGAAATTCCAGCCTTAGTGCAAAAGAGAAAAATAGCCTCAAAAGTCGCAAATATGGAGCATGAATTGGCAAGGATAAAAAAATTGGAAGGTATTGATAATTGGAACCTCTGGAAATTCCAGGTGACAATTTTACTAAAGTCTTGTGATAGCTGGGATATTGTAAAAGGTAAAGCGGTACCAGAAGTTTTGGATGCAAATGCAAGCGCAAAAGATAATTGCTACTACCATTTCTGAACAGGGTAAGATGCATATCATTAACTGTGATAATTCTAAAAGCATGTGGTATAAACTTATTGCAGTCTACGAAAAAAATCGGAAACTAGAATACATGCATTACAGCAACAATGGTATACGATCACTAAACATCCAGAGGATGATATAGCAACACACGTCTCGAAACTGGAGGATATAGCACACAGACTAAACGTCATGGGTGAGAATATATATGATAAGATGCTGATGATAAAAATTCTTTTAACTCTTCCAGAAGGCTTTGACCATTTCATGAGTGCTTGGGAATCTACGCCTGAAGACCAACGTACAAAATAAATCTAATATCAAGATTGTCAATAGAGGAAATGCATCTGAATCAGAGGGAAGAAAGCAACAAAAACGCTTTAATGTCGGATCTTTACACACAAGGTCATGGTCAAGACAACAAGTATGGCAATAAGAATATTCAAAATCAAAATAAACAGTACAGAAGCAATTACAAACCTGGATAATGCCATTAGCGTGGGAAACCTCGACACTGGGTAAGAGAATGTCGCTCCAAAAATGTAACTATGTCAAAAGGACAGGTAAGGGGAGATGCTCTGATAAGTGACCTAATACGTGAAGAAGATGAGATTGTTGAAATACCTTGAACATTAGTATCTCGTTGCTCCATTTTTGATTTTACATTTTCTTTGGCAAGTTCACGCTCTAATTAAAATATAAAGTCTTGTCGATATATCTTTTCACCTGTGGTTTCCTTATATAAGATACAGGCATTTATGCCAGCTAAATCTAAAATATTATAAAATACTTGGAGCGGCCATCTTCTAGATCCTGATTTTATACTATATTTCTTTGCCATTTAGTCTGTAATATCTACACTAAATTTAGTTTTATTATAATATTCAATCGTTTCGGGTAAGTTTTTTTTACTTCTGTCAATTTTAATAGATTTATGTTTAGAACTCAATATAAAAGCTTTTGTTACGTCCTAGAGGACGAGTTTAGTTAAGTAGTATAAGTAATGCCTGTTTATGGTCACTCTGTTTTCACCGAGTTTAACCTGGACCAGGCTGGTTCGTTTTCCCGATTTAAATAGTGATAAAATATGACAAAGTACGTACAGTAAAGGGGTGAATTGAGGAAGGTTTGGTTGAAAGGAGAAATATTGGTAACCGCAGCTGTGATTAACAATGGTTTTAATGAAAATAATAAATGTTTATGACTTACAGCTTGTAGTACAATGGAGGTTTTTGATCTGGAGATGCGCAGGAGGCTTGGACTGCTTCGTTCCAATTGAAGGTTGAACAAACACAATAATTCAAGAGACAAATATAATTATATACCGGTTAACTAAATCTATAATTGAATTGACTTGAATAAGTAGTTCAAATAATACTCGAGTAATCGAATAGAAGGAAAGCTGGTAGCGAGCGAGAAAAGTTAATAAGTTATTAGTGAGACGAATGAACTGAACTGTCAAAATTAATAAGTGACCGAAGTCGTAAATGCACAAAGTCGTAAGTGACTGCGAGGGCGATGTCCTCTGGGTTATATAGCCCCAAGAGGTCCTTCGTGGAAGGGGTAGCTTTGGTATCCCCACTCTTTAACTTTAGCTGGCCCAAGCTTCCTATGCATCTTTGTTCTAGAAGATTCTTATATCGTTTCGGACTACTAATACATGCATATGTTATTCTTCTATATCTTAGATTATCATACATATATGAGTTTCTATCCTTCTAATACTTATTATATATTCGACAATTCGATGGAATCCATATTGGTTCCTTATTACAATTCGACATTTCTTAGTCAATTACATTTTATCATCCTTTGATTATATAATTACGCTTTATTATCTTTAAATCAATTATATTCCAATACAATTCTATAACAGGATAACATATTCATTACTCTCGATTATATCTAGGGTTTACATACTTAATCATGCGTTTGGTTATACACATAGTTTCGCGAGCTTCATTGGCTTAGTGCGATAGTTATTAAGAATTGTCTTTTGTTCTGGAATATTCCAGGAGTAGATTTCCGTTAGTCCTACGTGACTTTGACAGGCGTGTCCTTACACCTATGCGTTAGTGAAAGTTTTGAGATAGCCAATGGGTCCATATAAGGGAATTGGAGAACGTTGGTGGCTATTGAAACTTTTTAGTCTTACAGACGACGATTCTCATATTCAATTCCTTTCCTCGATATTTGTTTATTCGTTAGCTACGTTTCCACACTGGTTAAAACTTTATTCAAAAGGAAATATTCCTGAGGCAATGGATATTGATGCAATGAAAATCTTAGTGCAGTTTCGGATTCTATACGTGACCTTGGAGTTTCAAACAGGCACGTGCGACACTGAGGGAAGAATGGTATTCTTTGTTCTAGGAACTAGGCTCTCCAGAAGATAATTTAAGGTTCCGGTATGTGCCTTGCGGGGGACAATCCTTCCAATAGTTCATTTCAATATGAAGAATGGAATATCGAGTAATGCAAGTAATGATTAATCTCTTATGTGTACTACTTATGTAATTGTTTCTATTGTTATTTATGCCAACTACTGGAATGATGTCCCGCGCAACTGGATTTACATCACTGCGAAAAATTTAGGTAGACGATTCGTGGCGGAACGTCACACTTTCTTTTTCGGCTTACTTTTATAAATTGTAAAAATAATCTCGTTTGATCTATACAACAATGATGAAAAACGAGTCATGGTATCCTTCTTTGCCTTACAAATTTCTAGCAATTCTTTTTTGTTGCCACATATAGTACCAACAAATATGTTCTTTTTTGAAAGCAATTTGAATGCAAGCGGTAAACTTGTAAAAAAATCGTCAGTCGTTACACATCTTCCTTTCATAGTATATGGTTCGATAAGCATAAGAACGACATATTCACTAAGAGGTTGTGATTTTGCTCGTGTTTCATCTTTCCCTAGATAAGGAAACCAATTCAGAATATACTTTGTTTGAACATCAGAATGATCGTGTGGAACGACATCGATTACTATTGTTATATTGCCTTTGTATTTTTCATTTATTGCTGTACTATAGCAATGATTCTATCTCTATTTTATCGCCAGATAAGCTGGCAAGAAAGGAAATATTTTAACTGTGGGATTCAGATAGAGAGAAATAACTGATGATGATGAAATATATGATAGTTTATTAAATTATAATGATGTTGAGCGGTATTTACATAAGTTTACAAAAAGCGGCGTGGTTACAAAAAATACAGTATACAAAAGAATTATGAATATATGACCGACTGACTGACTGACTGACTGATAAACTGACTGATAAAATACGCGTGGAAATCATGCATAAAAGAACTTTGTTTTTAAACAACGGAATATCGTTTCTTTTTATGTGTCGCATGTGTTTACTTAGAAATCTGAAACCACCCGAAGGGCCCGATACTGCACAACGGTTTTCATCGCGCTTCGTTTCATTAAGATCGATAGCGTATTTAAACAGGAAATAAAATAAAGAAAGAACTAAATATTAATTTTATCGTCTAAATAACAAAGAATAGTAGATTCCTCTAAATATATCTAATCAACGGTGTTTATTTCAAAAAACAGATATTTTCAGGTGTTCTTCCACTTTAAGAAGTATCTCAAAATGATTGTTATTGGTAGAAATAGCAAAGATAAAAATTTACTCGAATTCTGTATAAATTATTTAAAAAAAAAAATTAGTTTTTTAAAACCTTTACTTATAACAACAAAAGTCATCATAAAAGTTATCATATTTTTGGCGCCGAGTACTTCCAAAATCCAAAAATGGGGATCGTGGCAGCTAATGGGTTAATAATTTACTTGTGTGTGATAAATTTCAAAACAATTTGGAACATGTAATGCCACAAGGCATTTCTTGCACTCCCAAACAGTCTCGCTGCGTTTTTTATGTTTGGTACAGACTCTACATCTTCTTTGAGGTTTTTGTTTAGCTTCTGTTGGTGGAATTATTCTTGGGAAATGACCCCAACATTTTGATTGTAATCGCTTTGGTACGTCACCAGCAGACGGTCTGCCACGATTTATGTATTCAGGTATACATACACTTTCTAAAATTTGTTGCGCTACATCTAATCGAAATTGGTAAAACGTGAATTTTTTGTTTTTTGATTTATTCAATGTTTTTGTAAATAAAACATAAGCATTGAAAAGTGCAATATCCATTAAGCAAAAGAATATTTTTTTATAACTTTTCACGTATCTTCTCATTAGTGAAAAAGAAGATAAGTAGCTATCTTGGAGAGTTATCCCATCCATGCCATCATTATACTCTAAAACGATATTGGGCTTTTTAACGATGTTATTAGTTTTACAGCTCTTCTTTTCCACTTCCATCATTTCAATTTTTTTATGTTTTGTGGACAAAAAATATATATCTTTTGTGTCCTTCCACTTTGCAGCTAAAATACCCTTGCACGATCTTGAAATAGCTTCTGATTGTTTTAGCTGTATCGTTGCGAGATCTTTTGGCATATTCTTTCTGTTATATTTAACTGTTCCTATGGCATTAGTTTTTATGGATTGTAGTTTTTGAAATAGATTTGGCGAAGAAAACCAATCATCCAAAAACAAGGTGTGTCCGAAATTAGATATTGGTGTGCACATGAACATGGTAACATTTTCGGAAGAATTGGTGATTGAATTATTCATATTATCTTGACCTGTGTATGTTTGAAATTTGATACAATATCCTGATTTAGACTCGCACAATTTATAAAATTTTATTCTAAAACGTACTCTCTTTGACGACTTGTACTCATTATATGACATTCGATTGTTATATTTCATAATAAATTCGTCTAATGACACATATTCTTCGGGAGTGTAAATACTCGTAAATTTTTCATTGAGATAATCGATTATATTTCGTATTTTACACAAACGATCATTTTTATCCACAACTTCATTATTGGAAAAATGTAAAAAATGGGAGAGTTGCATAAATCTTAGTAATGGCATTGTTTTTCCAAAAATGGGAGTTTCAATAATACTTTTTCTTGACCAATAGGATTGGACATTTAACTTTCTTACTTGTGCCATCAAGATGCATAACGCAAAATAAGCTTGAATTTCATCAATATTCGTATCCCTCCATTTTTCCTCAGATTTTTTTATTTTTCGGGCTGTGTCTCCTATTGTTTGACTCGCATAACGATTGCTTTCTGTAACAATGATATTCCAAAAGTCTTTTGATAAAATTTGGTTTAGCATTTGCAAAGCTGTGGTTTCTTCTGTCATTTCTATGTTCATTCCAGGAATTCGTGAATACTGCCAAATTTTGCTATTGTTTTCCTTGTCTTCCCATATCCATTCTTCAGATGTAAAATTAGGTTCACAATCTTCACTGTTACTTTCTTCTTCACTATCATATAATAAAATTCTACGCAACTTCCCAGCAGGACAAATAATTTCCTCGCAGTCGCTATCTGTATCAATATCAGATGTAACAATATCTAATTGCTTTTTCCTTCCACTTGTCGAAGCAATATTACGGAGTTTACTATTATTTTCCATTTTACAATATGTGTTGACAGACATACGGATATATACAGACAGCAGCCTTCTTACTTTCTTTCATATATTTATATCAAAAATGAGCTACATCCTTTGGAAAGGAAAGGAAATTATGAATCTTATTTACCAACAGTAAAAGGATCCACTTCCAGAATAATATATATAGTACGGGAGCTAGCAACATCGGGAAAACAATAATTTCAGGTCAGCTGATTTTTTTATATGTCGTTCTTCTTGCTCTTTCGGTTAGAGCTACCTGGGCTACCTGGCTGGCAGTAGTGATTGTGTTTAATAGTGCGCATCCTACCTGTACAGGTAATAATCCTAGATTTTAAAAAAATTTTAAGAAGCCTAATTTTCTATTTATTGACTTTAGATAGATTTACCAAACATAAATTTTTTATTACCAGACACTTTTATCATTGCTAATTATCTGCCATACGCGATTTTATCATTTTTCCCTTTGCAAAAATACATCTCATTTTATCACTGGCCATTGTAACAAAATTTAAAAATAAACAGTAAAAACAACACAAACACAAACATGTGACTACCATATATATGTAATACTCCTATTGGGATCTCTAGCACTTGAATACGCTATCTGCTGGCTAAATTCAAAATTAGAATAGATAGGTCCTATCCTAGCTCCTCCGAGCTTCCAGCTCAGTTCTGTGCATCCTTTGTGCGCATATAGGACAACGTCGAATAATTCAAATAAAATATATTTTTATAATAACTTTTTATTTTATTTATGAAGATAAAAAAAAATGAAAATAAAAATTGAGGATTATTTTTCTGAATTATAATAATGAATAATACTGTAAACACAATTTTAACCACAAAATTATTCTCCAGTTTATGTCCCCACTACTGATATTTTAGAGAAATTTCAAGCATGAGCAGATTGGACAAAGTGTTTTGGAAGAGAGAGAAAATAAACATTGTCGGCACCGTAATGTTGGGACATTCTTTCCCGTATCAATTGTCCATTTAGGAGTATTACATATATGCCGTGTACACATCATACATTACATTTCCGCGACAATAGTTTTTAAAATCTGACATTAGCCACACTAATGTGCTCTAGTAGCAAAAGATCTGTCCCCTCATTTTGGAACTCTTGCGATATTTACGATCGTCATTAAAATCTTATAATTAACACATTGAATCGATCTGATCGATAAGGTCAGGAGATATGACAAGACGAAAAAAAAGTGAATATATGTATCGTATAAAATGTTTTTAGAGCGAGCAAAAATGCTGCGGGCCGTGTGACGTGTCGTACGAGCAGAGCGCCGTACGCAATGTGTTAACGTTAAAAATAGCAATCAGAAAAAATTTGTTATTATTTTACAATTATTCCCAAGATATTATCGTCAATTTATTGTGTAAATCTATTCAATTTTATCTTACCTAGTCGCAGTACGAAGTAAATACTATGACGCCATGACGTTATAAACCTGACATTAGCGAACATAACCGAAGCCTAGCAGCGTATTTGCAAAAATGATCTGTCCTTTTTTTACTAAACGCCTTGACTGTACAATTTCCCATGTCGATTGTTCTCTTTATTTATATCTAGCCTCCGTGGATATACATATAAGAACACACAATTATTAGGAGAGCATGGAAAAACAGAAAAACGTCAACTGATTTGAAATATAACGACCTATCCCACAATTACAATCGGACTATCCAATTAGATGCTATAGTATATTGTAGTGTCATCCACCAGTAGGTGGATGTAGTAGGTAGTACCTAGGGATCCTGTAGGAGGGATGCGCCATTCATATTCAGCTCATGTGCCATTGGCTGAAAATTTTGGGGGACCGCTTGAATTTATAATAATTTTTTCGTGTAACCAATTCTATTTTAATATAAATTTTTAATTATCATTAAATATAGTTCATTTTTTTTCTGTATTTGATGCAATTCATTATTTCATAATTATTTCAATGTTTGAATCATTCGCGCGCAAAATCGAGTTCCGGTCCCCCAGCAATGTACATGGCGCATCCCTCCTATAAGATCCCTAGTAGTACCTAGTAGAGACCCTATAGGAGGGACGCGCCATGTAGATTGCTGGGGGACAGGAACTCGTGTAGTCACGTGATTGCGCGCGAAATATTGAAACATTGAAATAATTATGAAATAATGAATTGCATCAAATACAGAAAAAAATGAACTATATTTAATGATAATTAAAAATTTATATTAAAATAGAACAGGTTACACAAAAAAATTATTATAAATTCAATAAGAAAGATTTAATTAGGTTTGATTTGATAAAAGGCAATAAGTCTGTAAACAAACGATAAGCTATAGGTTAGGTTTGTACATTTATACTTGTAATTATTAAATGAGTGAATTAAACTTACACTTATAGAAAACTACTAAAAAAAAACAAAATAATTAAACATAAATATCACAATAAAAACTATATATATAGTAGTACCGAACGTAAAGTACGTTAACGGCCATAGCCGTGCTAAGAACACAAGATCTCGTTCTCGATAACTGAGGTAAAGCAGCACTGGGCACGGTTAGTACTTTAGATGGGTGTGACCCGCTTGAAAAACAGTTAACACTTTAATCCACCTGCATGATCATTGGGTGGACTGATAGCTCAGTTTGGTTATGTTGCCGGTCCCAAGCCCGGATAAAGGATGAGGGTTCTGAAAGGTTAAGTTAGCCTCCTGTCCGACGTAAAAAACCTAGAAAAGGCTCAAAGGATTCCGATAACTCGCCTGGCGAGTCGCGATGAGAAACAGGCAATTGTTTGCCTATTTTGAAGAAAGAAGAATAGAAGATATATATAGTAATTTAATAATTTTAATATGAATACGTCACATGCAACTATTTACATACGCAACATTCACACAATGACCTTTCACACTTAATAAAGTTTAAAACATACTTATATAACGTGTAAACTGTACAATGTTATGTTTAAAGATAAATACAATTGTAATAATTAACATTGCTGAAGTTTATCTTGCAATTGTGCATATCGCATTTGTAATATACGTTCACGTTCAGTTTGTCTGTTAACATCTTCAATAAGTGCATTGACTCTTCTTGGAACTGCTGCTTCTTCTTGATTTTGTAAAAATTTAAATGTCGAAAGCTCCAAATGGGCTTGTTCTATTTGTTCGCATAAATCGTGTAATTGTTTGATTAATACTTGTGCCCTGGTCTGAAAAAACAAACATGTTAAGATTAAAACTTATGCCAATTATTAATATTTTTATCATATATTTATAATTCATTTTATATTTAACTATATATGTAAAGAAAGTGTACTTTCTTCCGTTGTGATTACGCGCGCTTTCATGAGTAAGAAGGTAGTAGGAAAGGCGTTATGTGTATAAACCTGATTGGATATACAAACAAAAGAGACAAAGGAAAGACGTAACGTATATGTATCAGATGGGATATATAAATAAGAGAGAAAAGACGTTACATACACAAATCAGATTAAATACTTAAAGAAGATAGATAGATTTAACGGACTAAGAAAGTGAGTGCTAAAAGTGAAGAATAGACATAATTGTCGTTTTTCGTTTCAGGTAATATTATATTGTTCATTTTGTAAATATTGTATATAGGAAAATAAGGTTGACATAGAAATAAATTCGTTTCAGAACAACACTTTGTGCTATTCTTGATCGTCTTGTTTGAACCACTCCTATTCTGGTCTTATAAAACGACAATTTCTATAGAACAAAAAGAAAATGGAAAAACTATAGTTTGAATTTCAGGTGATACTTTCTCCAACAGAATCAAAAACAAAYATTATGATTATAACTACAATTAAGACAGAAAATGGGGAAATATATGTCCTACCTGAGGAATATCAGAATATAAGTCAGCATACCGAATTAAGGAAACGCTAAAAAAGCGTGTTTGCAAGTTTGAAAAAATCGACCAAGAGACACGAGAAGAAAAAATTATGGATACGTTTGTCAGAAGAATTAAAAAAGGTTTATATGGATGAGTATGGAAATATGAAATTTAAAAACTACTTTTTGGATACAATAGAGGAGAAAAAAGAAAACACAGGAAACGAAGATCTAAAAACACTAATAGAACAAATAACAATAGCTAATG